AGACTAGCTCAAGGGAAACTGCTTTTACACTTAGGTCATGAAGAGGAAAATGCTTCACTTTATCTCTAGCAACTTATATATTCTCCCAACCCACCACTACACGACTTATAACACACCCTTTTTATTTTAAGAGTTATTGCGTCGACCGCTGGAAGCTACGTAAGAAGGAAACGAAAATGTTCTTCACTGTGAACCTAAGTACTCTATATTGATAAGAACGTGATTAAAGATAACATCAGCACCGACCACCTCAAAGCTGGATACTGAGACGAAACCCATTTTCAGTCCTCTCCACCAAAATACAAACAAATGGCACGACCTGTACGACTTCGCTAAATTCTCCACGACGAAACGTTCTCGGAATCCGAGAATAGGCAACACGCCTTGGAATATCTGTGAAATTTTCGGGGGGTGTAAGACATCATAAGAGCTCATCGCTTACTCTAAAACCTCGTGATAAGTACCAATTTTGAATTTATATCCAAATGAATGTTCAGGAAGTCATTTAACAGCTAAGAACACAGCTAATCGTGCTCTCTGAGTTAGCGAGTAATCGTGTTCAGTCACAACAGGCTTGTGTGGAACACAGATTACTGTTCTACTCTCCTGCTCCAAAACTGCACTAATACTCACAGGTAATGGATCTGTGATTATTACTGAGTGCAAATAAAAGTAGTTAGTCCGAAGAACAGCAGCACTTTGGAAAAGGTTTGGTAGGATTTGTAAACATGAATCGTGTTCCAAATCAAATTAAATGAGTTGGAATTCAGGATGTGAATTAGATAATTAGCATGACGAGAAAAATCTGAGGATTAAACTGGTGTGATATTAGAGAGGGCCCACTACTGAACTTAATTCTTTGAGACGTTTTGCAGATTTAACATTCATCAGTGGTGTCAGTTGTTTAATATTCTGTCTAAAACAGTTATGTGTGTCTGTTAGTGAAGGTAAGTCACTAGGCTAGATAGATGCATGTAAAATCCGGTTGATACCCGGAGTCTCTTGTAAAATGATAGCGCAAAATCTCGAGAAATGCTTACCACGTCGAGAAAAACCTTTTCCTGTCAAGTCAGACTATATCTAGATTACATGTTATATCTGATAGCGAAGCGACTTTTGAAGCTGAAATGGAAGTGGTCCGATACTACACAAGCATACACCAGCTATAATTTTTTCATGATGCTAGTTCAACAGCATTTTCTAGTACTAAGCGTACTGATTTGGCTCTCTATAAGTCCATATCACTTCCAATAATAATAATAATGATAATAATAATAATAATAATATATTTATCCTCAAATAACTACGTTACAAGCGTCACGCCAGTTTACAGGCTAGATCAAATTGTCACAAATGCTTTCACAATTACTGTAGAGCATATAGCACTTACAGAAACCAAAACCAAAGTCCGAATGTTTAATACAGATTATCAGACAGTTCTAATATATTGACCACGAAAGCCATCATCTACAAGATACAGGTGTTTATTTACATTTTTCTACTCAAGATACCTAGTATCCGTTGAACAGACACCATTAGAACGACGTACTATGGGAGAAAACAAACCGGATTGCAGAGGAAGACGAAATTTGGAAGAGCTGGAGACGGTTCCGATAAACATTGAGGAATGCACCCAACTGCGTCACAAGACAAGCCCTCGCTTGGAATCCTCAAATGCAAGGAAAAAGAGGAAGACCGAAAATCAAATTACTCTGTGAATCGGAAGTGGACATGAATAACAATAGATGCCGGTCACACACACACACAATTTAGCTGAAAATAAACGGTCACGCATCTGCATGAGAGCATGAATAAGTACTCCTTGCTGCCCATCTCACACTAATACTGGTCGGTTAGTATTATACGCTTCATGACGTGTCGGATATCTTACAGATTTAAATCCACATCCTTTACTCCTGACTTCTGACTTAACAGCTACCGGAATCATTGATCAAAGATATATTTCGGACAACATTATCAAGCGTTCACTGTCCATTACACCCTTAGTTTTATGTTATCATAGGCAAAGAATATGCTTCAAAGACCTTTCTTTTTTGTTGCGACCTGTGTGAGGCTTTGTATGTAGCAGAAAAACTCAATAATGTGACTCAAAGTGACTTCTAGAAATTAAGTCCAGGTTTAGGCCACTCTGTACGCCTAATATTCTACCTAAATCCAACATTCTGATAATTAATAGATAAAATGCGACTATATACATTTAAGGTGGAACTGGGATCATATTTGGCACAAGCTTGGGCTTGTTTTAGAGATGATGAATTTGTGAATTTGCAAATATATGAAACAATTCAAGAACAGTGAACGTTATTCAAATGCACATTGTGTATACAAACGCTAGATCTATTAACTGATTCACAAAGTTTCCTTTGTTTTTTCATATCCTGTTGTGTTCGCCAATGGAGAAGACTTGAATACTATGGGAACAATCGATACTTTTTACACAAGAGGCTTCTGACGAAATGACACAACATAAACAAAGAAGTTGATGAAGGCCGAGAGATGTCATGTAATAAAACCACGGTTGTAGGTAATGTAACATTAACTCTCTATTCCAGTTAGTAGGTTGAGTTACACACATTTGTACTAATCTGATTCCAATATCTTTCTCACCAGCTAGTATAAACCAATCGATTTCTTTGCGCTCGATTCCTGTTCCTCTGGTACGGTTTTAGGTGTTTGGTAGTGTCTAATGGATGATACTGTAGCCACTCGGCAGCCCTAATTCTTATCAGCTGGCGATTGTCTGTGAATTTGTATGATTTAAATGAGTACGTTTGTTTCAGGGTAGTAGGGTTTCTGGATACAAGCAGCTATCACATTACCAGACCGGAGATCAGCTATTTGAACCATGGGGAATAATAAGGGGAAAATTTTATTGATAATAGCAGTAGGATTTTAGGACTAAGTAAACAAGTAGAAAATTTAATCTATTAACTGGTAGTGAAGATTGTGCAGTCGGACCAGAGTTTAAGCAAGGGAGGGGAAACAGAGATAATAGGCCGAAAAGATTAGATTAGGTTAGTGGTCTGAGGAAATGGCAATAATACCAACTAGCAGGTCTTAAGACAGGCATCAGGCACAGCTTTTCCACGAGCAGGATGATAATCTGTGTGGGTACGTGTTTATCAAGCCTCTCCTCAAAGCTTTCCACTGAGGAGGCTATGTTCACCTCGGCTGAGAGAGCATGCTAAGTTGCAACTGCTCTTAATGAGAAAAAGTGTGCACGAACCTGAGTGTTAGCTCTTTGTAGAGCAATTTTTCGAGGATTCCCTTCGAGGGTCGTGGTGGTAATGCATCGGTAAAGTGCTCACATTGGAATGGTTTGACATAAATAATATGTTGCTTGCCATTATCAGAACACCTCTAATTCTCATGTAGTTAAGGGGAATAATCCCATCTCCTTAGGTTTGTCCTTCAACATTATCACCAATTTCCTTGCTCTTCTCTGCACTCAGTCAAGGAGATTGGTCTCTTAAGAGGGTGCGACGACGTTGTGAACCTCCAAATGTGGGCTTGCATATGTCTTAAGCAGCTTTAATAATGATTCTGGGTTGATAGCGACAAGTATTCGGATAAACTGGAGAGATTCATTTGCCTTGGCTGAGTCCCCTATATTGTTCAAACTGATTTCAAGGCTTTCAATGATTACTCAACCGAGATCGTACTCTGAGGAGACATTAGGGAGCGGGCTTCCGTTAGGGGTGTAAGTTGTTTGCGTCACTTAAAGAAGAATGTTCATGAAGTGATATTTTTGACTTGTTTAGTTTTAAACTGGTTTCCAACTGAGGTACTTTTGAAGCTCATTTGAATCCTCTTCGCTTCTAATGGACCTCTGGATCTTTGCATCGTCTGCGTAGACCAGTGTCACCGAGCCAAGTTTGTTTAACAGAACATTAATGAATATCAGGAAGAGAAATGAACCTAATATTGTCCCCTGTGAAACTCCTGACTTTGTGATTCGCCAACTCGCATGCATCCTTTTTACCTTGGTATAAGACTTTATATTCTCAAGGTAGTTTCTGAGTCAAGATAGGAGTGTGTCAGTGAAGTCCATTTCCTGAACCTTTGCAAGTATTGTGTCTAAGGGGGGTATTGTGTCTAAGGCTTTTGCAAAGTCGAGAATTATTGCATGCCCAGGTATTTTTCGGTCCGAGCATGATGTCCTACTTTCCCATGCTATGAGAAGATTGGATGCGCACTACCTGCCTTTCCAAAACCCGTTTTGAGCTTCATGGAGTATTTTGTTCATATCCATGTTCTCCCTCATCTGTTCGATAATCAGCACTTTCATCATGTTAGATGGTATTGATAGTAATGCTACTGGCCTGTAACAGGCTACATCTTTTCTACCTCCTTCTTTGAACAGTGGAGAGAGAATAGGTGGTTTCCATTCGGCTGGGAGTTCGTGTTACTCCAGTGAATGGGTAAACAGGTCACACATCGGTGAACTGAGGGCTTCTGCACAGCTTTTTAAAACAATATGGCGAATATTGTCACCACCTGGTGACTTTCCTGGGCATAAGGACTTCAGTTTTCACAGTACTAAGTTAGGATTAATACGGATATTCCATAAACCGCCTGCTAACACTTTGTTTGCTTAGTACTCTAAAAATGTGGATACCTGGTTTAACAGATCAGTGAAGTTGTTGTTGAAGATCTCAGTCACCTTTAGGTTGGTGAGATCTTCGTTATTTAGACATTTAAAGGAACACACAAACCCTGATTCATAGGTTTTCTGTTTATCATGAACCTAAACAGATACTTCGGGTTTACCTGTGTTTTGGCAACTAGTTTCATCTGAACGCTTCCCCTAATACTTCGAACTTTGGTATTGCATCTGTCTCTCAGTGGCAAGTAAGAACTACTGTCGGAATCCTTCGGAGACCTTCCAGTTGTACCGCGCCTCTCTTTTCGCCTGTAGTAAACGTTTAGTGCCGTGCTTAACCCATGGTCATTAAGACACCTTTCTATTGGACATATTGATCATCGTTTTGATTTGCACTCACATTGCAGGCGCACATTTGTTGGTCTGTTGGTAGGTTTCCTTGGCATTCAGTTGCCTATGTATTGGTGTTTCATATATTCAGGCATATAACAAGTAAGTGTGACAGCTAAAATTCTACCTTGCAGTTAAGGCTCTTATTTCTGTTAGCACTACCGTCCTCACTACACAGAAAAGTAAAAGATGATCCGATATATGTAGTTTATTAAGTATTCCAAGTAATTCCAACAAAAACTCCACTTTGACCATCATTTCGCTCCATAAGATAACCACTGAAGAATAATTCCAAGGCCGAAAACCCAGACAAGATTATATTCTAACTTCGAGCCAATCTCATTTCAAATGCTCCCCTTGTCGATGTGACCTAAATCCTTTCGGCGTCCAACTTCAGGAGGAGGCTTGGGAACCATATGTTTACCAACCGTCTTTCGTCTGGAACAGCTGTCCTTGAGTTATGTTTCACAATTCATAGTTACTGCCACTGATATTCTTATTTTAATTATCGACCTATCTCTGTTCAATTCATCCTCTGTCATCTTCGTTTATCTGTTCTTTTTACCATGTTCATTTATATTTTCTGCCTAACTCGTTTATCATTGTTTCACTTTTATCCATTCTAACTTTATAAAATCGGTATTAGAATCAACCAATATTTGTTAACTTGATGACTTCTAGTCCTAATAACTTCATGTATGCTCAAGAAATGTTTGTCTTCAAATAACTGTTAAGTTCACAAGGATTAATTCGTTTGAGTAATTAGTCGAAAAATACAAAACTACTTAAAGGTTCGAAAGATTATTGTGACACCGAGAAGTTTAATCAAGGTAATCAGTTGGTTTGCACTAGTTTATCAAAAAATGCTGCATTTCGGAGCTACATATCCCAATTCGAGTGATATAGGTCTGTTTAATCGTTACACAGCTTTCATACTAATTAGAGGAAACATTTCTACATTGTCTTTCATCTCTCAGTTCCTTGAGATCAGATATACATCTACCCGTAGTTTCTGGAATAACTAATTTTAGTCTAGTTGTGTTGGGTAGAAACCTTTTGTGGCGATCTCACCTGAGATCCTTTTAGTATGCTCAAATTATTAACATGACAGTTACTAGTAACACCCGCAATACAATGTTTCCGGAATATATGTAGTGCTGATGAATTCTTAATCAAACAAGAGTTCCAGAACTTTCCTAAGGTCCATTTTAGCTTCAAGTCATCTGTTCGTATCGCTAATGATTGATTAGAAAGCTTAGATTGTCGCAACCCACTTTTTTTCGGTACATATTGAGTCGAGCCTACCAGAAACCTTGCATAGATCACTTTCTTATAGTGTTTGAAAAAAGATACTACATGAGAACCAGATAAACAAGTATATTTTACTTGATGCGTATAAACAAACAAGACTGCCGTTTCCTTATCCGTATGCGCTTCCAGCACTTAGCATTGTAAGCATCTAATATCGTTTAGATGTGTTAGTTTGTAACCAGAACTGTGATTTACTGACGCAAAACTTTACAGCAGACGGCTAACCTGAATGTTTCATGTTTTTAAATGAAACTTAATTTGTGGCAATAATTATCCCACTTAAATGACACATGTGTATCACTGACGTTTGATGGTTTTGTTTCAACGTAAATGGTGGTATATTTAATCCCCGAAGTCATTTGGTTTTATGTCACAGAAATTTATGTAAATGCTCCTCTATAATCTGGATTTTTCAAACCATGATGACTGAAAAAAATCGAGATGCAAATTTATCTGCTTCAGAGTCCTCTGACCACCAGGCAGATTACGATCACAGTACTATTACAACAGCTGATCAACCTGTAGATGATCTTGGCTCTTGTCTAGATAGCATTGTACGTAAAGCTGATGGAATGAGTGATAGCGATTTTGACGAACGAGATGTTTCAGTAGAAGATGATGACAGTATTCCTCCAGAGGAAGATGCCGCTGACGAGGAAGAAGTATCAAGTCTCATGAAAGTGAGTTCATAATGTAAAATATTTCTCACTGTGATTATGCCATCATTTTATATGAAAAATAACCAAATAATGCTTTTTATCCTTTAACTTCGTTACGTTCCAAATTCAATCACGATAATTCTTTTGAAGTATGTACTTGTTGTAAACTAGATAAGCAACGAATTTGATTGTTGTTAATGCCTATTTTTAGACATTAGCAGAAAGAGCGTAGACATAGTTTTCATACTTTGTCGAATCCTTTTGTGTTCTTAATTGTTAATATGACCAAACCGCCAGTCAGAGCACTGTTCCGCGCTAACAATCCTTGGTCAGCGGCCAGGTTCTTGTTGGTTCACAATTCTTTTTCTGTCCGACCAGTTGAGTCTAGGAGTCTGTAACCAGCCTCCACTATACAAATTATATATCGATTTATGTACATACGTACTTTATCACATTACACCTCAAATGAAAAACAACAGTGAATATGGGTAGGGGAGACGGTAAACAATAAACTAGCAACAAACTAAAGACAAAAAATCGTATAATGGTAGTTTACAGGTTAATGAATGTATAAACCTGATAATCTTGATACTTTATACAGTAAGATTTTGTATACTGATAATTCATAAATTAGTTCTAAGCTGCCATTCCGTCAATTTCCGTTCTAATATAACAAATCCATTGAAAACGTATGTGTACAACCTCAAGGAATATTTTCTTGGAGTTTAAATCATCCGACATTGTACCTAGATATGGGGTAATACTGGTGAGTAGCTCATCCAACATAGTCCTGTGATTTGAGTTTTAATTTAAATCGTAAGGGTGTGAGATATATGGGGTCATTTTGTTTGTGTTCTTATCGAGTCAGTCAATCGTACACGGATTTCACTCAACTTTTACAATTATTTCATAAAGATCTTAACTACTAGTTAACTGTTGCATTGCACCCAATTGTTTGGAGTTATATTATAAAAGCTATCCGTTTTTTAACTTCGTTTTTTTGGTGAATGTACTTAAATTACATACCTTCAATATTTATGAGGTGCGGTATTTACATAAACTCATATTATGTTTTAATATTGTTTTGTCATGAAGTTGGTATGGTGACTGCAGGAAGCACATGTTTTCTTTCACTTTCCCTTTAATTCGATATTCAAATTTGAAGTTATTCAATACTGCGTTAAGTACTTCTTATATGCTTATGAGTAGGCAAGAGAAAATTTCATTTCATAACCTAGTCGTTTACTCTTATTGATTTTAGGAAAGTCAAATGTCATTGGATGAACTTCTAGCCACATATGGAATTTCTTCAAGTGCTAGCGGCCACAACAATGACACTACTACTTCAGTTGCCAGAGGTAAATCTGGGCGTTTAAAAAGTATTCGGCGCACTGTTCCTCCTTCAAGTATAGCTTCATTACAGGAAATATCATTGCCTCCAGCTAAGAAGTTACGTCGTGCTGTTCACACATCTGTCAGCTTAGATAATGGAAATAATGATATGTCAAATGGAGAAAATGTGCCAGCATCATCATCATCAACTGATCTGTCAACAATCCATAGGTCATCAGATGTCGATGCATTGGTAGATAAAAACAAAGCTGATACATCCTCATTGGGTTGTGTAAGTTTTCTGTGTGTGTGTGTGTGTGTGACTAAATTGCCACTGTCTAATTTTTATATCATTTATTCAAAATTCAAATTTTTACTAGTTAAATCTTGTTATTATTATCTCTATTATGTACGTACAAATAATAGTTGCTTAACATTGTTTTATAACAGTAGAATAGGAGGACCTTATGTTTCTTAAAAAAACATCAATGTCATGCATGTATAATAGAACTGATAGAACGTCAAGTGTACATTGATCATTTGTGCTAGTGTTCCAGTTAAAATCATTGTTTTTGAGCAAAAAGCTGACTATCTTTTATCTGCTCTACTAGACACGTAAGGCGATCTAGGCTAAAGAAATTCGACTCATCGTTATCGTTTAATAAATATGACATCCATCTAGTAAACTTATAAATATTTTACATCGAAATTACCATCTATGAAAATATGTACACGATGGCGTTAACCTGTCTCTAGTCATTTAACTTATCTCGGGAGTCTCATCAGTGCTGATGGCCCGGTGACTGACGGCATGCATACAGAAGGCTCGATTGGCTTTTGCCAAATTGCGTCACTTATGGCAAGGGCGAGATATCCGGTTGTTGACCAAAGGGCAAGTGCACTGCGCGGTAGTTCGCTCCGTCCTACTTTATGGCTGTGAAACATGGTCAGTGATTAGGAAACGGGTACTAGGTGGGGATGGCAAGTCAATAGATGAAGTAGTGAAACTTCACCATTTGAGGTGGTTGGAACACGTGTTACGTATGCCTAACCACCGACTGACTCGTCGAGCTATGTTTTGTGGTGTAGGAGTTGGTTGGAAGAATGCTAGGGGCGACCAAACCAAAACATGGCAGAAATCCATGAAGTCACTGACAAGTGGACTGAGTCATGTTGGTAGATGTAGGCCACCTACCTGGTTGTGGTCTGCGAGATGATAATAATCGATGGTTAGAGATCTTGAATGACGTGGCTCAAAATCGTTTGTAATGGCGCAGGTGCATCCACTCTGTGTGTCCTCTCGAATCCTAATCTTCTGGATTCGTCAACACCTCTACCTTTGTCTTTCTAAACTTATCTCGCTGAATTATACTTCTTGAATAATATCTTCAAATCCTAATCTTTTCTATTACCAGTAATAAATCTACTACCTCTACCACTATGGGATTTGAATTGACAGTTCGATCTCTCTGTGCTAATTTGGTGTGGCGACTTAACTACTATACTTACGTGCAAAGTTCTACGCTGCTGTTGATGATTATGTCGCCAGTCAAATATTCATTTTCATTTAAATCTCGTTATCAACTTAGCTTTAGTGTGGGTATTTCGGGGGGGGGGGTGGAATGTTTTAATCACTAGTTCCGAATCAATGTGGTTCATCGATTTCGTTATTAGTCTAACCTTACGATCCTTTAGCCTTAGATTGTCAAGTTTTTTCTTCATTTTTTTTCACAGTAGGTTTTAGTTCTAAATTAGTTGTACAAGTGGTTCCCCGGGTCACATTATCATTATAAACCATAAATATTGACGATCATATAGACAGTTTACATTTTAAGTCTTTTACAATCACTTTTGCAATTCTTAAAATTATGGTCGTAAGTGATAGAATAATGATATATTGTATAAATTTCACAAGATTCATGTGTTATATTTCATTTTTTTGCTTACTTAGCTCACTGTATTACCACATGCACATTCAGTTCCTTGTTCACATAGCGCTAGTCCAATATCTATCGATGTGTCATGTTCCGATCCGTCTTCAGCTGCTGCAACTCCTCCTAAACATTCAAAACGAACTAACTCAGACGATTCAATTATCAGTAGTATTAGTAGTAGTAGTCATAAAAACTCATCACGTGGTCATTTACTTCGATCTCGTTCAAAATCTAATCTAACAACTACTGTTCCTACTACTTCTGAATTATTATTATTAGACAGTACAATTTCGAATGAAGAGAATCCATTAGAAAGAGAAGATACAGAGGATACAAGTGTATCTAATTTTGATATGGATGTAGAAAATGAATTACAAAAGAATGAATTACAAACTATTGAAGATAAATCTGAAATGAATGATGATTATTCTTCACGTTTTTGGAAGAGTGCAATTACTGGTAAGTGAAATGACCTTGATTAATAAATTCATTGATAATTAAACCACTTTGAAGCCAAATCCCCATCTTAACAACCTCCGAATAGCCACTGTTTATTTTGTTTAGTTTTGGGGTTCCAAAGAAATCGGATCAAAAATTTGGAAATCACTTGTCTGAGTCTAGTGGTAATATGTTTATGTACCACCATGTGACATATATAACAGTAATCTTTGAACTTTTGTCCCGGGTTCGAATGCTACGAGGAGCAGGAGTCGTGGATGCGTACTGCCACTGATGAGTCCCATACCAGGACGAAATGGCCGTCTTTCAGTGCTTCCAGGTTTCTAATAATGGTGGTCTAACAATGATTGATTGATGATTTCAAATGTTTAAACTTTTGTGTCGATGCTTTACATCTTATGCACTGACTTATGCGACCATTTTCCCCTATTATTTTGTGTCTTGATAGTGCAGTTGACTATAATTTGTAATTAATTTCACTCATTCATGTAGTATAAGTTTACTTACTCAATTTAAAGCCACATTTTATGCATAAGGGCAAGTGATCTGCAAGAATCTTTCAATAGAACTAAGTAAAGCAAGGTTTAAATCTAGGGCCCTACTGATTTAAAGTCAAGTATTTTGAAAAGTAAGCCATCACTCCATAGTTATCTGATATTATTAATAGAGCTTATAATATCGAGTGATTGAACTGGTAATTTACTCATGCAGTTGAACTCGAGAACAGTGTATAAAGTATTCAATCATAATCGCATAACTAAGTGTTACTTATCAGGTAAATTCAACCAATTAATATAATCCAAAAAGAAGGAACTCTACAAGACGACTAGTGAATTCTGTAATGGAGTAATCACGTTATTGCTCGTCTTTCCAACCAATCATATTGCTAGATCGATTACATCCAGAAGAACCTTTCCCGTTTTGCATGTTTCTGCCCCCCTCCTTAAATCCAGTCAGTATATAGAGTGAGCATAATAGTGTTTCAGCTGTGAACCATCTTATTCTTCAATATTATAACAGTATCGTATCTGTTTCGAACACATCATCAATTTGTGATGGTTTATCATCTAGACCTTTAAACTGCCGATTCCACTAAAGTTAATTTTAAAAAAATATCACTTCATAGGAAACCCAACCCTGGTTAGTAGAAATGATAAGAAATAGGTGAAAACCGGTCGCGTGAATTATGGATATAATAGAAATGTCGATCATCAATCAATCATTGTTCGACCACCATTAAAAACCGCGAAACATTGGACAGCCGTTTCGTCCTGGTATGGAACTCATCAGTGGCAGTACGCGTTCACGACTCTTGCATTTCGCAGGATTCAATTTAGTTCCTTCGGTCTTGCGCGCGAACACCTAACTTCTGGACCACTGAGCCGGCATCCATTAGTGTTAATGTCTAACTCTGATCAATTTAGGGATTTCGCGCGATGAAACGGCTGTCCAGTGCTTCCAGATTTCTAATAGTGGTAGTCTAACAATGATTGATTGATGATTTCAACGTGTAACTCAGTAAAAAAAGAAAGCGATGTGAATGTTGTTATATTTTAGCATTTTAAAGTCCTATCTTATTTCATTATTCCTTTTTAAAAAAAAGGTAGTTAGTCCATCTGATATAAATAATCCAATAATGAACTGAAGTTTCTCAGAACTCGAATGAGCCATGCCACTATATTGCCAGGATAGGTTTAGTGTAAGCACTGACTGTTTTCGAATGCCTAAAGAGGAAGGGAATTGTCTTTCTAGGGCTTCAACAGTCGTAGGTATTCACCCTAAACACCATCTCATTAATATCTTTCAGCTATTTTCAACTAAGCAGATAGATGAGTGTTTTTCATCTGCTTTTATTGAGTTATTTAACTTCATCTATTTTTACAACCATCTTGGTACATGCTCAACAACCAGCCACCTGACTGAATTTACAAGTTTCGATTATTATTATCATTATTATTATTGCTCCGTATGCGTGATCAAGTTTTCCATTCTCTCGCTCACCTGGTTAATACAGCACCTCACTTTTTATCCATTGTATTCCACAACAAATTTATCATATATCTTACGTCTGTACCTAAAATGAAAGTAGTTTGTACGACCCCATGCTTTGGTTTGGCATAGGTGTTGTCATCTAAGAGGAAATTTTCTTTCACATTTAAAAAAGAATTTTTATTCACTTGATGTTAGGATATTCATCCGATATCCTAAGAGAATTATTGATCGATTCCTATTGGTTAATTCCTACTGGTTAGTTTTATGGTCGTCCTAGATATCAATGTCGTGTACTCCAATGTTGTTTCTTATTGGTCGTCCGGACTGTCAATGTCACAGACTTCGATACTCGACCTAAATGTACAAATACGCAGTATCTGTAAAGCTTTGTATTCCATTCCTTCCTACCTTCCTCTCTACTGTACTCGACCCATTAAACAACATCTAACGGCGTTGTGTTCTGATATATAAGAGATTGGGAATAGTATTTGGGTCGTATTGGAATATTTGAATTCGGGCGTCGGTAGGATTTGATTAGCTACGTAACAGCATTAAAACTCTTGAATAATATCTTCGATCTCTAATATTTTCCATTACTAGTAATTCTTCTACTGTCTCCACGACTATGGGACTTGAACTGACAGTCGCGTCTCTGTGCTAACGCGGTATGGAAACTTGAACTAATGTACGTACGTACGAAGTTCTACATTGTAATTGACTGACTCACTGATCATTGTCTGACTGTTCAAGAGTGGACTTTTTACCAGGAGAGAGGCTTGCTGACTTCGTTGGAGTATGCTGATGACATAGTCCTATTCGCTGCAGACGCTGAAAAAAATGCAGAGTCTTCTGACCACTCTAAGCAACAATGCAAGTATGTTCGGGATGCAGTTTTCCTCCTCGAAATGCAAAATGTTGCTTCAAGATTGGGTTGCATCAGCACCTGAACTAGTGATAGGGAGTGGAGTATTCAAGCGTGTAGACCGCTTCACTTATCTTGGAAGCTCTCATCAGTGCTAATGGCCTGGTTTGTGATGAAATCTCAGCATCGGATACAGAAAGCTCGATTGGCTTTTGCCAACTTGCGTCACTTATGGAGCTTTTAAATGCTTTAATACAATATACGTACAGAACTCTTGTTATCTATTTGAAAATGGGATACATGTACACTTTTTATTTTCGTTTACTAATAATGCATGGTACTGATGTACATATATATATATATATATACATATATATATATATATATATATATATATATATATATACATACATATATATATATATGGGCTTATTAGTTTCTTGACAAGATTTGCTTTCTTTTCACCCTAAAAAAAGGTCAAGAAACTCCACCTTCATACAATTCAGACGAAGACGAAGACTACTGTCCAAGTGAAGATAGTGGTCGTGATTGGAAAGGTGTAGGTTTCTTCAGTCTATTGTATTTCTTGTGTCGTTAGTATTTATTTTATGATCGGTTCATGCTGCGCAACTCAATGAAGACGTTACCTTGATGCATTACGTTTCTGTGACCACTGATCATTGTTGAACGCTAAATTAAGCTACCTACCCTAAATTCATGGTATTTATTATAATTTCTGATATCGATCGATTCTGTGTACTCGAGTTTGAATGAAGTCAAACGAGGATTATCTTAGCTTCTTGGAATATATTTATTAGGGACGTTAGATCCCCAGAACTCACTTGGAAAAAGTTTTAATTTTTTTAATTTATTCCTGAAAATTTGAATTTCTATGTTTTCGCGCCAAGAGACATTTGATTGACATTCAGCTTATATCTCTCTCCCTCGGAAAATCCTAGACTGTCATTGTTTGACGGATTTATTTAGTATGCTATTTTGTGGCTCTCACCAAGTGTGTCTCTATCGTTGTATAAATAAGCTTGATTTGTGTGCTTAGAAACCTCGTATTTTCTGGTTGCTTGTAGAATCAGTCAGTCAGTCAGTCAGTTGCAACGTAGAACTTCGTACGTAAGTACATCAGTTCATGTCGCCATACCACATCGGCACAGAGATGTAATTGTCAATTCAAATCCAATAGTAGCAGAGGTAGTAAAGGTATTATGAGTAATCGGAGAGGTTAGGATTAGAAGATATTATTCAAGAAGCATGATTAAATGAGAAAAGTTTAGAAAGTCAAAACTACAGGTGTCGAAGAATCCAGACGATTAAGATTTGAGAGAACACAAAGAATAAATGCACTGGCGCCATTGCGAACGATTTTGAGCCATGTCATTCAAGGTCTCTAACCACCGATTATTGTCGTCTCGCGGACCCCAACCAGGTAGTCGACAATTACCGACATGGCTGTGAAACATGGCCAGTGAGAGTAGAAGATATTCGTTGGTTACTTGTTTTCGATCATAGGTGTCTTCGAAGCATTGCTCGTATATCGTGGGACAACCGAGTGAGCAACGCTGTTATTAGGAATCGGGTGCTAGGTAAGAATGGCAGATCAATTGATAAAGTAATGAAACTTCATCAGTTGAGGTGGTTGGGACATGTGTTGCGCGTATGCCTAACCAACGACTGCCTCGACGAGCTATGTTTTGTGGTGTATTAGGAGTAGGTTGAAAGAAAGCTAGGGGCGGCCAGACCAAAAGATGGCACAAATCCATGAAGTCACTGACAAGTGGACTGAGTCATGTTGGTAGATGTAGGCTATCTGGTTGGGGTGCGCGAGACGAAAGTCACTAATGTTTAGAGACCATGAACGACTTGATTCAGAATCGTTTGCAGTGGTGCAGGTTCATCCACTCTTTGTCTTCTCTCTAATTCTAACCTTCTGAATTCCTCATCATCTCTATCTTTCGCTTTCGAAATTTATCTCACTGAATTATACTTTTCGAATCATATCTTCGCTCCCTAATCTTCTCCATTACTGCTTATACTTTTACTATCACTATCACTCTTGGATTTGAACTGACAGTTGCATGTCTGTGCTGATGTGGTATGGCAACGTGAACTGATGTACTTACGTACGAAGTTCTGCGTTGTATCTGTCTGTCTGACAGTCTTTGTTTTGAATAAAATCAATTAAAAATAACATACTAACAGTTTCTATGCTTGCCATACTCACCTCCCTTCCTCCCTCTTCACCTTCTTGAATTCATAATTTTTCCGTCTTCATAGTATCAAACATTCCACTTCAATGTTGTTCATCATCATTTGAAAGTCATAGCTAGGGGCGGCCAGACCACTGACAATTGGACTGAGACCTGTCGGTAGGTGTCGACTACCTGGTTGGGGTCCGCGAGATGTTAGTAATCGATGATTAGAGACCTTGAATGACATGGCTGAGAACTGTTTGCTATGTATTCATTCTTTGTGTTCTCCCAAATCCTAAACTTTTTAATTCTTCATCACTTCATCCTTATCTTTTGAAGTCTATTTCACTAGATTCTACTTCTTGAATAATATCTTCTAATCCTGACCTCTCCGACTACTGCTAATACCTTTACTACCTCTACTAATATTATGGGATTTGAATTGACAATTGCATCTTTGTCTGTGCTAATGTGGTATAGCAACTTGATGAACTGATTTACGTACGTACGTACGTACGTACGTAGAAAGTTCTACATGGCTATTGATTGTTTGGCTGATTGATTGATTTGAAAGTCATATTTATTTATTTATTGAATTGATTGTTTTTGTTAATTTACCACACTGTTTTGATTGTTTTGTCTTTTTTTGATTGACTGTCCATTCTTGATCAGCCTATATTTCTGACATAAATGTATGTTGACCCTAGTCAGTCGCCTTACACTATCAGTACATTACATAATAAAGCTAATAAGATTGTGTGTAGCATAGTAGTAATCTTTACTGTGAAACTAACTTATTTAAACACACCACAATAAAATTACACTACATTAAACTAATAGCGGTGGTAATGTGTCTGACACTAAGTACGGCTTGAAGCTAATTGTTTTTAACCGATTAAGTTCTTCTAGCTCCTAATTTCAGCTAAGGGTTGGAACACAATCAAATTGTGGTGTGCAGTGTTGTATCGTATCGCGATTTTTAAAGAGTATTCAACGACTTGAATGACTCTGCCGGTCTCTTACATTGTACAAGCATTCCATGTACCCTAAATTAATGATTGCTCTGGTTGTCAGAAACGGCATCGACCTCTTGACTTCTGAAGAAACTCGGTTCACATCATAAGACGTCACAACTTTTCTAAATAAAGATCTAGCTGCCAGGGTGTGAATTAATTTTTCTGGTTGGTGTTTTTAAACGAGTTACTCTTCTACGGAATGGGATCGCTTACCCCCTCCCCTCACATGCCCAAACCTCCTCCTTTATCCGGGCTTGGAATCGGCGGTAGCCCTAGAGGGAGGTTCCAGATGGAGTTTGTAAAGGAAATAATATTTAAGCAGAAGGAATAGTCACATAATTGCGAAAAAGAAACAATGATTTCCCACATTCCTCATCTGATTATCCATCTCTATTGACTAAAATTTCGATTCATATTCAGGTGCTTTCTTAACTGCCCACATGATCTTAATGTTTCGTTCCATGTCAAAATTTATCAACATAAGCTTGTTCAACTTTTTCTATTGTTTCCACATAACTACGACATCATTCAGTGACCGAATATAGTTATTAGAAATTACACAGAAATATGTATTTCGAATTCGCAGTTATTATACGACATTGAATCTTTTTTTAATGAGAATAACAAGTGTAGGCGATATATTTATTTATTACATAGTTTTAAATTAAGGACTAACCTGTGAGAGATCATTGAAAACCAGTAGAAAGCACCAGACAATTGTTTCGTTCTAGTATAGAACTCCTTACTAGTGGTACACATTCAAGTTACTAAACTAAACGTTGTGGGTACTTACTTCTGTCTGCGGAATGAAACTGATGACAAGTTCTTCGCGTTTTCAATGATCCTCTTACTATTGTCAATCGTTGATTCTTCTAAACTGAAAATTTCACAATCTTCATATAAAACCCCATAACTAATATTTAGAATGCACTAACTAACAGTCCCGACCGTAGCTGCTACCTTGACGTGGTGGTCGAGCTTGCCTATCTTGATGACCCAACCGAGCTATATTGGCTGGAACATATGTTCCTAAAGGTTCTACCATGCAAGGCAGGTCGATTGGAGAGCGATGAGACTAAAAGCAGCTACTCAAGGTCTGAGTGCGAAGTCGTACTGCTGATTGTAGAGGAGTGTGACAGCAGTAAGGTGTTTCCCTCAGACAACCAGCATCTGCAGCGATGCTGCCTTCTCACAAGGAAGGAAGGGTTAGAAAAGGTCGACCCTAAAAATGTCACACCTCACACTACCCCACGGATTTCCGTCTCCTTGAGTAAGGGTGCCCACTAAGGGCTTTCAAGAGCGGATCTAACACTCAAAAACCATTCATAAAAAGGCCGTGCGTGACCAGCCTCAAGCAGTTGTCCCTTGGACTCTACGGTCACGCTCCCAGGTCTGTAAGACCGACACCAATCTACCTTGTTTTTCAGGTCCCTCAAGGAACAACCTTCCATTGTGTGTGGGCAGCCAGGAAGTGACAACCGCCCTCATACCCATAACAGCACACGAGACCAAATTGGTCAAAATCAAATGCTTCCGTAACTAACTAACAGTACAAACTTGACATTCTATTTGTGATTTAATCATCTATTATGTTATATATTTTTTATTTCCTTAATCTCTTATTTTCCTTACATTTTCAATTATTTGATAAATAGGAAATCAAAGTTGGTGAAGAGTATCAAGCAAATGTCCCAATGCTTATTGTAGCATCATCGAATACAGAAGAAAATCAAACAGAGGAAAATTCATCATCATCATCGTATTATGGCGCTGAACGAATATTCAGAGAATCTAGTCTAGTATGGAAACCTTCAGAAAAATTATGTGAAGCTGATGTAACACGTTTTGAACGATCCTATGCTCAAGTGGTCCTATCAACATTACCTATGGAACGTACAATTGATGATGAAGAGGTAATTTTGATTTACTGAAATGAATTCATATATTTTCACTTTAACTACTTATAAATAAATAAAGTAGTATAATGCAGATATAGTGTACTGACTTAATATATATATTGACTTCTGTCGAAAATACTATGTCATATGTATGTTGTGGTTCATTTAGAAAGAAAATACAAACGAAAATCGAATGTCTTTTTTTTCTACTTTACATTTATGCGGAGTATGTACACTAGAGACAGAGTGAACTGTTGCGCAGTAGACTCGTCCTTTAGTTAGCAGACGGATGTCTCGCCCACTCCATAAGTGATGCAAGTTTGAAAATGCCCATTGAGCTTTCTATATCCGGTGCTGAGATTTAATCACAAACCAGGCTAAGAGCACTGATGAGACTCCCAAGATAAGTGAGTCGGTTGACCAGTTCAACTACTTCACTTACTATCACTGGTTCGGATGCTGATGCAAGCCAGTCCTGAAGCAGCATTTTGCATTTCGACGGGGAGAATCGTATCCCGAACATGCTTGCATTGTTGCTTAGGGTGGACAGAAGACTGCATTTTTTCAGCATCTTCACCGAATAGGACTATGTCATCGGCATATTCTAGGTCAATAAGAGATCCTCCTGGTAGAAGGTCAACTCTTGGAAAGTCAAACGAAGATAATAGTATCTCTGAAAACATGTCTACGACTAAGTTAGACAAGAATGGGGAGAGTGAACAGCCCTGACGGACACCACAGTTCGGCATAATCTCTCACTCGACCAGTGGTGTTCGAGTAGAGAGCTTGTAAAAGGGTAATGTACTTCTTTGTACACCTTTCGATGACAGACACTGCCACAGAACCTCACGATCCACTGAGTCAAATGCAACTTTAATAACAAGGATGAAAACCAGTGTCGGGCGCCTAAGTGTGTGTCCGTGTACTATGACTTGTCGTAGTGAGAATATGTGGTCTCTACAGCCATGTCTAGCTCTGAAACAAGCCTGGTTTTCTCTAGTCTTCTGTTCTCGAACTCTAGTTAGGCGTCTAAGTATTATCGAGGCTAACAATTTAGAAACTATATTAATTAAACTGATTCCTCTATGATTGTCACAAGAAGACTTTTGTCCATTTTTATGAATTGAGATAATCAGGAATTGAGACTAGTCAATCGTCCGATTTAGCTTACCATTGTTATCTTAGTAGAAAATTTTCAATTTACATCTATACTTTCTACTTTTTACATCCTGTCATGGTTTTATTTTAGGCTTTGTTCTTGTTAATGCGTTGTGATTACGATGTGGATGAAGCATTGCAACGACTACAATTGAAAGCCGTATCACCAGCTGGTAGGTTAACTATATATATATATATATATATATATATATATATATATATATATATATATATATATATAATCACTCAATATCTACCCATATATATATGTCTCGTGTTGCTCGAATAAATTATCTAGACTAGATATTGGATAGAAATTACACTTTCGGTGGCATATGGCACAAATGCATGAAGTCAGTGACAAGTGGACTGAACCGTGTTGGTAAGCTTAGGCAACCTGGTTGGGGTCCGCGAGACGATAGTCACCTATGGTTAGAGACCTTGATTGACATGGCTCAGAATCGTTTGCAGTTGCGCAGGTGCATCCACTCTTTGTGTTCTCCCTAATTCTAACTTTTTGAATTCCTCATAATCTCTACCTTTCTCCTTCTAAATTTATCTCACTGAATTATACTTTTCGAATCATATCTTTGCTACCTAATCTTCTTTGCTGCTAATACTTCCACTATGGCTATCACTCTTGGATTTGAACCGTCAGTTGCGTCTCCGTGCTGATGTGGTATGGCAACCTGAACTGATGTACTTATGTACAAAATTCTGCGTTGTATCTGTCTATCTGTCTATACGTCTTGTGTTGATCGAATAAATTATCTAGACAAGATATTGGATAGGAATGACACTTACGGTGAATTTCACGTTAAAAACTGGAATCTTATTCATATCAAGTGAAAAATTATATACATACATAACAGTCCATCAAATGTCATTGCAATGAGAGCTTCTTTTTTCATATTCCTTATTTTTCTTATAAAAATCTCTAGTTTCTTTTGGAGTCTCCTAATTTTTCTCTTTTTTACCGCGCAAACAAACCGCCCTTGTTGTTTTGTTTAAAAAAGAATCAATACATTTTATTATCAAGTTGAGGCCATGTTTCATATATCGACAGTTTTTTAGGTTTTCAATCATCGATAATTTCAAAACATATGATCTAATATTATTGTCGAGTGATTATGTAATAACGATGAGGAATTTTCAGGCATAGATATGTTATAATGCTGCTACGTATAACTATTCAGTCCCAGCGGCGTCCAAATTCAAATATCCCAGTACGACCCAAATACTATTCCCCTAATCTCGTATATATCAGAATGCAACACCGTTGGATGGAGTTGTTCATTGGGTCGAGTACAGAAGAGAGGTAGGCAGGAAGGAACGGGAATCATGAAGTCTTACAGATACTGCGTATTTATACATTTAGGTTGAATAGGAAAGAGCATCAAAGTCTGTGATATTGTGACAGTTTACGACGACCAATAGGGAAGAACAATTGAAATGACATTGACAGTCCGGATGACCAATAAGAGACAACATTGAAGTATTTGACTTTGACGACCATAATTTTGACCAATAGAAATCGACCAATAGGATTATACTTCCAAAAATAGTACTCTTAGGATATTTGGTGAATATCCTAACAAGATACTAAATAAAATTGATAATTTAGTGAATGGAAACGTGAATTTTTTCGTTCATCATTGAGCAGCTGATTGAGATGTATGGTACGTACATCGATGCATCACTTATATATCTTGATGCGGAAAAAGTTACTTGCAGTGAGTGCAGTTTTTTTTCAAAAGTTAGAAGATGAACCAAAACCTATAGAGTCGTCATTCACTTACTGTTCAACTGATCCGTACCGATAAATCCTGACTTACTTAGTTGAGTGGACTCTGTTCAATAACTAATTAATATGGTGTTCAATCAGTCAGTTGCAACGTAGAATTTCGTACGTAGGTACACCAGTTCAGGTTGTCATACCACATTAGCACAGACACGTAACTGTCAGTTCAAATCCAAGAGTGATAGTGATAGTAGAATTATTAGCAGCAATGCAGAAGATTAGGGATTATTATCATCTTGCGGACCCCAACCAGGTAGTCGTAGTCGACAACTACCGCCGACATGACTCAGTCCACCGGTCAATGACTTCATGGATTGCTGCCATGTTTTGATTTGGCCACCCCTAACTTTCTTCCAACCTACTCCTACACTACTAATCATAGCTTGTCGAGGCAGTCGGTGGTTATGCATACATAACACATGTTCCAACCACCTCAACTGATGAAGTTTCAATACTTCATCTATTGATCTGCCATCCTTACGTAGCATCCATGTTCAAAATCGGTCAACCTTCACAAAATTTTCTTTGTCTCTTTATTATATTCCAACAATCATTAATTATTTTAAACTGACCATGTTATAAAAATTTGTATTTATTAAACATGAAAAAATTCATTAACAAAACTGTAAATGATCATTATTATTTTATTTTATTTTTTTCGAAAGCATTTTGATAATCAAAATTGTAAATATATAGGCGTATCTCGTTTTTTGTTGTTTTTTTTTTCGTTGTTTTTTCGTTACTCTATGTACGTTTGACCGTAGATTGTTATCCTATCTATTATTTTTTCATTAAATGAAATTGAAATTTTGGGTGTGTAAAGAGTTAATTTTCATTTGTGTACATTGTTATTATTATTATTATTTGACTGTTATCACTTACACACAATTATATATATGTATATATATGTATCGTCAACAACAACAAAATTCGGTGCTGACACTTTTACTGTATTTTATTTAAAATCAATCAATTCATGAATTCGACTTTGTTGATCCTCTTAATTCAGCTTAGATAAGCTTAACCATTCAGGTTACTACTATAGTTTATGAACATTTTCATTCACGCAACTTATCATCGGTACGATAGCACAACTAAATTCATGCGCATTGAAAATGCAAGTGAGAAATTTCTTCCAATTGAACTCTTTTTTTTTTAAAAAAAGACTTCAATCATTTTTTTGTTTATCTTAGATGATTTTAATTCAAGATAATAGTGTGAATGAGAAAAAAACCGTTGTTTATGAAGACTTAACTGATGGATGAACAATGTTGATGTGTACAAGTTAAGAATATTCGCATGAATAATGAAGTTGAAAATGATTCCGTCTATTCAGTGAAGACGCTGACAAAATGCAGACTCTTCTGACCACCCAAAGCAACAACAATGCAAGCATGTTCGGGATGCGGTCCTCACCCTCGAAATGCAAAATGTTGCTTCAGGACTGGGTTGCATCAGCACCTGAACTAGTGATAGGGAGTGAAGTAGTCAAACGTGTAGACCGCTTCACTTATCTTGGGAGTCTCATCAGCGCTGATGGAGTTGTTTGTGATGAAATCTCAGGACCGGATAGAGGAAGCTCGATTGGCTTTTGACAACCTGCATCACTTATGGAGTAGGACAAATATCTGTTTACTGACTGGAGGCCTAGTGTACTGCGCAGTAGTTCTCTCCATCCTACTTTATTTCTGTGAAACATGCCCAGTGAGAGTAGAAGATATTCGTAGGTTACTTGTTTTCGAACATAGGTGTCTTCAAAGCATCGCTCGAGTATCGTGGGACAACCGAGTAAGCAATGCTGTTTTTAGCAAATGGGGACTAGGTGGGGATGGCAGGATAATAGATGAAGTAATGAAACTTTATCAATTGAGGTGGATGGGACATGCGTTACGTATTCCTAACCACCGACTGCCTCGTCGAGCTATATTTTACGATGTAGGAATAGGTTGGACGAAAGTTAGGGGCGGCCAAACCAAAACTTTACAGAAATCCATGAAGTCATTGACAAGTGAACTGAGTCATGTTGGTAGTTGTCGACTACCTGGTTGGGGTCTTCAAGATGTTAGTAATCGATAGTTAGAGACCCTGAATGACATGGTTGAGAACCGTTTGCAATGATGCAGGTGCATCCACTCTTTGTGTTCTCTCAAATCCTAAACTTTTTTAATTCTTCATCATTTTATCTTTATCTTTTTAAGTTTATTTCACTAAATTCTACTTCTTGAATAAAATCTTCTAATCTTAACCTCTCCGACTGCTGCTAATACTTCTACTACTATTATGGGATTTGAATTGACAATTACATCTCTCTGTGCTAATGTAATATTGCAACATAAACTGATGTATGTACGTACGTACGTACGAAGTTCTACATTGCTATTGATTGATTGAGACTAGTGTTTTACCTTCTCCTACTTCAAGAGTTTGATGTTGATCATTGGATTTTAAATAAAAAACTGAATAGGTGTTTGCTATTTATTATTGACTGTGTTGACCTATTCTCTTTCTTTTATTGTTTTTTCTACTACTTCATTTCCAGCCGTTCCTGGCTACTTAGATTCTTGGTCAGAATCTGATTGTACAGCATTTGAGAAAAGTTTCGCTTTATATGGAAAAGATTTTCGTCAAATACGAGAGACACGAGTGAGTAGTTTCCTTTTTTTTTCACTCTAATGTTTGTTGTTTCGTCGCACTAATATATATCACAATGGTCGTCATATTTGCAAGTTGTATCCGCTGCTTCACTTCATCTAGAATAAATGTGATGAATGCCATTGTGAACACAATATGCTTTAGTGTTTCCAATTTTTCTATCATGGCTATAACATTCATACAATACATACAGTTAGTCACTTTGTACATTTTTGATGATATTATTTCAGTGGTCAATTCATATTTACAAATTCAGCTGATCGTGTGGAGATAGCTATCTCATATCGGGCGTACTATCAGGCAACTTGACGAACCAACGAATGAGGAGTGAACATCTTCCAGCATTGTTTAAGAAGGGTCAATCAAAAACAATGCGCAGTTTTCTACCTGGTTAATAGTGGTCATATTGTAATAGATAAGTTTAGATCTTTTCGAATGATCTACCTATCATATACCTCAATCATTTCCCTATGGAGTTTGATCCCGTCTCTTCTACACATAGCATAGCATAGCACAGAAGCCATGGGAAATTCGTCCACTCAACCCTAATTTATGTGTTCAGAAGAAATTTGTGACACCCCATATCTCTTCCGTGGCTGGGGATATGACGTAACTAACGATTTAAGATTTTAATTTATTTTTTGGTTTACATTGTATTTTGTTATTATATTGGCATTATTTTCACATTCTGTATTTGTTGGTAATTTTCTACCTCTTCCCGTTTTATATTCTTCACTATCTAATTATGGTTACACACTCCGCATTACGTAATGGTTTTAATGTTTTGTAATGATTATTTTAAGTCTGTTTATCCACGTTTGATCACCAATATTGAACTATCGACTAGAACTTTTGTTATCGTATTTTATTTTTCTTACTACTATCAATACCCCTGTCTTCCTACTATCCACTTGTACTTTTGCCTATTATGTGTGTAGTGACGTAATCTCTATTTCATATCATAGTAATCATCGACTTAAATTGTCTTGATTGTGGTTTAAGCTTTTTGATACATAAATATTCATGTATATTAAAGGGTATAAAGCAGCCTGATGACGATCGAATCGAAAACAACAATAATATTCGCTTTTATATACTGTGTTGTTCGAATTTTATATCGGCGAAATGTTATTGGGGTTTAATTTTTTTTTCTGGAGAAATTCCAATGAACCACAAATTGTTATTATCTTGTGAAATCATTGAACAGTTAATTACAGCAGTCACATAAACATAACTGGGTGGTGGTAAGCTTGAAATGACAAGAAAGCCTACTATTTATTATGCACAAATAGGCATGATATGTTTTCATTTTGACTTACTTTCATTGATCGTTCTCTTGTTTTTCTCCCCCTTATCACATAACATCATTTCTCATTTCAGCTTCGGCATAAAACTATATCGGAACTGATACATTTTTATTATCTATGGAAGAAGACAGCACGTCATGATGAGTTTGCACGTATCTATCGTAGAGATAAGAAAAAATCTTCACATCCTAATATTGCGTAAGTGTGTTTGTTAACTTTTTTTTGAATACAAATAAAATGATCGGCCCTTAACTGTGTACTGATGTACTGATCAGTAGAGTGTGTGCGCCATTATCGATATAAACATTTGTTACATATAATTGCCTTTATAACACAAGTAATTTCATAGTTGAATGCTGGTGGTCAGTGATTGTTTCATTGTCTTTTGTCGTGTATGTGAGCATGTTCAGTGGAAATAATTTGAGGCGAATATTCATCTTTCTCATCAATCAATAACATAGTGAAGTTCTATTGAATGTGTTTGTCTAGCTAGCTAGCTATCTTCCAATAAAATAGCACTAGTACAGTGTGTGTCAGTCAGTCAGACAGATGCAATGTAGAACTTCGTACGTAAGTACGTCACTTCATGTTGCCATACCACCAAATTAGCACAGAGATATAATTGTCAATTCAAATCCAATAGAGTAGAAGAGGTAGTAAAGGTATTAGAAGTAATCGGAGAGGTTAGGATGAGAAGATATTATTCAAGAAGTATGATTCAGTGAGATAAGTTTAGAAAGACAAAAACTAGAGGTGTTGAAGAATCCAGAAGATTAGGATTTGAGAGAAAACAAAGTATAAAACAGTGTGTGTGTGTGTGTGTGTGGTTTGAATTGTCTAGTTATGAAATACTTGTTCACCTTAGACATTTACATGAATGAGTGACATTTCTCATTATCCTTAGATGAATTAACTCATTCATTTCTTTATCTGAGTTACATTAAGCCTTACGTTGTTGTTAGTTAAATAACAAATAATTGAGCAGAAAAAAAAAGAAATTATCAATCACAAAATAACATCATAATCCTTTTCCATTCTACACTGTTCTTATCATAGATTCTATGAAATAATAAAATAGGGATCAGTCAGTCAGTCAGTTGCAACGTAGAACTTCGTACGTATGTACATACATAAGTTCATGTTGCGATACCACATTAACACACAGAGATGCAAATGTCAAATCGAATCCCATAGTGATTGAGATAGTAGAGGTGGTATTAATGGTAATGAAGAAGACTAAGGTCGGAGGATATTATTCAAGAAGTATAATTCAGTGAGATAAATTTATAAGGACAAAGATAGAGATTATGAAGAATCCAGAAGATTAAGATTTGAGAGAGCTCACCAAATGGATGCACTTGCGCCATTGCAAACGATTTTGAGCCATGTCGTTCAAGGTCTCTAACCATTGGTGACTATCGTCTCGTGGACCTCAACCAGGTAGTCGACAACTACCAACTAACATATGAATTACAAATCATTCATTTGCTTAATCTCGACTTAACTCATACACATATATATCTACTAGTTTCTTAAACATAAAACTACAAACAGTTGTAACTTTTGATGACAAGAACTATGTGTAAGCTACATTTCAAAGATTCCATATTTGTTAAAAAGTAATCTGTATACAAGTAACTCCAGACTGAAATTTTATGGTTGGAGCATGTTTTTTTCTCATTAACTATAAATTTAAACCTTCTATATATATCACCTGCCCACTTGGTGGAAAAAAGCGCCACTGGAACACTTATTTGGTGTGAAATTAGTTAACTATATCATTTCGTTATGTTGATTTGATGCGCTAGCTTTGATCGATATGCATATGCGGGCATAGGTTCTACATTGCTTAATACTAATTTTATACAATGACCCAACATGCTTACATTGTCCATTTATGGTTATCATATCTTTGGAGTCTCATCAGTGCCTATAGCCTGGTGACTGACGAAATCTCAACTCGGATACAGAAGGCTCACTTGGTTTTTGCCAATCTGCGTCGTTTATGGCGTAGGCGAGATAGCCATCTACTAACCCAAGGACGAGTCTATTGCGCAGCAGTTCGCTTCATTCAACTCTATGCGTGTGAAACATGGCCAGTCAGAGTAGAATATATTTGTCAGTTACTAGTTTTTGATCATAGGTGTCTCCGAAGCATTGCTCGTATATCCTGGGACAACCGAGTAAGCAATGCATTTGTTAGGAAACGAGTACTAGGTTATCATGGCAAATCAGTAGATGAGGTAATGAGACTTCATCAGTTGCGGTGGTTGGGACATGTGTTACGTATGCCTAACCACCGACTGCCGCGATGAGCTATATTTTGTGGTGTAGGAGTAGGTTGGAAGAAAGGTAGGCGTGTCCAAACCAAAATGTGGCACAAATCGATGAAGACAATGACAACTGAACTGAGCCATTATAGTCAGTGTAGACTTGATGGTTAGGATTCCTGAGACAGTAGTAACTGATGGTTAGAGACATTAAACGACATGACTTAAAATCGTTTGGAATGGCTCAGGTGCATCTATTCTTTGTGTGCTTTTTATTTCTAGCCTTCTGAATCCCTCATAATCTCTACCTTTCACCTAAGTTTATGTTACTGAATTATACTTCTCGAATCATATCTTTGCTGCCTAATCTCTATTCGTGCTAATACTTCTGTTATTGCTATTACTCTTGGATTTGAAGTGACAGTTGCGTCTTTGTACTACCCTGGTACGGCAACCTGAACTGATGTACCCTACGTACGAAATTCTGCGTTGTATCTGTCTTCCTGATTAATTCTTGCTTTTTACTTCATATTTATTCTGAGAACGATGCACGATGATAACTTTGTGTTGGTGGTCTAAGGAGTAAGTAAATTTTTTTCATTCATTCATGCATTTTCATGTATTTTTTTTCACAGTGATTTTATGGATTGTTTGGCTATGGAACAAGAAATACTAGCAGAATCCTATGTACAAAATGTTAGTGATATAACTCCGTCAACTACTGCTACTACTACTACTGCTACTACTAATACATCGAATACAGATAATCAATCTTCTTATTATGCTCAAAAATCTGTTCAGCATAATAATCATAATAATAATCATAATAACAGTTCAATAAAAAGTGGTGATTGTCGTCAAATTGGCTCATCATCCATGGATTGTTGTAACAACAATGGTCAAAATATCAGAGTAGTTTCAACCAATGGTAATGAAATTGGCATTTTGAAAAATGTTATCAATCGATCTACAACAGGTTTAACAGATGATGGAAGTAAGTTGTGTATATTAAATTTTGTTCCTATTTAACATATTCATTTCAACTGATTATTATGTAATTAGTTTGTTGACCAAAACATGACACAAATCCATGAAGTCACCGACAGCTGGGTGGGGTCTGCGGGAGGATAGTAACCAATGGTTAGAGACTTTGAATGATATGGCTCAAAATCGTTTATAATTCTTAGTGTTTTCTCGAGTTCTAATCGAAACTCCTCATGACATTCATCATTTCTCGTCTCAAATGTATGTCACTGGATTATACTTCTTGAATAATCTTTTCGATTAGCGCTAATACTTCTACTATCTTTGCCACTATGGCTGACTTATGGACGAGTGTACTGCACAGTAGTTCGCTCCATCCTACTTTATGGCTGTGAAACATGGCCAGTAAGAGTAGAAGATATTCGTAGGTTACTGGTTTTCGACGATAGGTGTCTTCGAAGCATTGCTCGTATATCCTGGGACAACCGAGTAAGCAATGCTGTCGTTAGGAAACGAGTACTAGGTTATGACGGTAGATCAGTAGATGAAGTAGTTGAACTTCATCAGTTGTGGTTGGGACTCAGTTACGTATTCCTAACCACCGTTTGCCTCGTCGAGCTATATTTTTCGATGTAGGAATAGGGTTGGAACAATGTTAGGGGCGGCCAAACCAAAACATGGCACAAATCCATGAAGTCATTGACAAGTGGACTGAGTCATGTCGATAGGTGTTGACTACCTGGTTGGGGTCCACGAGATGTTAGTAATCAGTGGTTAGAGACCCTGAATGACATGGCTGAAAACCGTTTGTAATGGCGTAGGTGCATTCATTCCTTGTGCTCTTTCAAATCCTAACCTTCTGAATTCCTTATCACTTTAAGTTTGTTTCACTAGATTCTACGTCTTGAATAATGTCGTCGAAACCTAACCTCTCCGATTACTGCTAATACCTCTACTACTATTGGATTTGAATTGACAATTCTATCTCTATGCTAATTTGGTATAGCAACTTGAACTGATGTACTTACATACGAAGTTCTACGTTTTAAATGACTGACTAACTGAGATAGTTATTATTCAGGATCGGTTGATAAAACTAATTTACAAGTAAAAAAGAAGCTTAAAGTCATTATTAACAAGAGCAAATGTATATGTGGATTCATACAATACAACCTAGACGACACTTTTCGTGTTTTTGTACGCCATAAATTGAATTTTGTCAAAATATTAATAAACTTTTACACCTAGGGATTATTGACTTTGGTTGGATAAGATTTGTTGTAGTTCGAAAAGAAAACACAATGCCATTTAAACAAAATCCACCTAAATCACATGCATTTTTACACCCAATTTCCTATTTTACGTATTGATTATACTTTCTATTTTTTTAAAAAAAAAATCTTTTCTTTGAATTGATGTGAAATAATATTGATTTTTTTTCGCCTACAATTTTTTTTGCCAGTCAATGATCATGAAATCACCACCACTACTACTAGTAGTAGTAGTAGTACTGCTGTATGCGCCTCAGATGGTTCTGGAAATCGATGTAAATTAAAGTCAAATGGTGGTAATGTGTTGAATAATACACCGAATAATAATAATAATGAAACCAATAATTATCATGGAACTTATTGTATAAAACAATCCGATCATATGCCTAGCTCATCATCATCAACACCATCATCATCGACACGTTCTACACGTACAACACCGTCGACAACAACCACAACAACATCAACAACTGTAACTGTTTAGAGTTGTTGTGAGAGGAGACGACGGTGTTGTAAGTAATAATGTTGAATTCGTGTTTCTGTTGTTTTTGTGTGTGAGAATCTCTCAAGTGTATTTTTTTCTTGTTCCAATCTCTACATTATACTTCTTTGTTATTTGAATTTTTCGATCTCCTCTAGTAACTTGAATTTTTTTTTCCCACACGCAAATGTATTTTTCCATTTCCCCCATTTGTTGTTGGTTTTGTTTGTACGACAGTCGTTAAAAAATGTGTGATATATTTATTAAGATAAAAAAAACTAGGGCTATTTTATAAAATATAATATGTAATTAAAATTTTCTCATTATGTAATTAATTAATTAATTTTAAAAAATGTGTAAGTTCGATAAACACACAAAAACATTTCTTCTCATCATTCTTGTTATATTATCGTATATATTAATAAGTTTATCCTTGTTGTCACAGTTTGATTTTTTGTCATATTCTCTTGAAACAGCAGCTTGTATTATTATTATTATTCACGTTTTAAGTGAAATATGTTTCGTCTTTTCGTCGCCTCAATCCATCCAAAATATGTGCGTTGGTTGCCTTCTTTCTACACTTACAATCTCATCAAACATCTACTTCTTATCTTCTTCTTCTTACTGTAACTAATAAAGCCATGATTGATAAAAGTGTCGTTGTTTTTTACTTGCATAAGAACGACAGGAAGTGAGATATAGTTTCCGGGACATTTCAACACATCAAATTTTACTGTAAAAATTCGTTCGGTACGAAGGCGGTTCATTTAAAACGTGCTCTCACTAGGTAGGTAGCGTTGGTGGTTGGGCAAGGTTCCCTCATGCAAAAGATCCGTTAGAAAATAAAATGCTCGAGTGCTTACTCTCGTGGCTTATTCTGTACAGTTTTGCGAAGTATCTGGAAGATAGTTTCATTTGAGGAATGCGGTTTAAACGCTTATGCGAATACTCTTGAAAGTCGTATCGATAAGATAGCGCTGGAGCACACTGAAGCATCAATCGACTGAATCGACGATACTTCTAACCACCAGCTAGTTCGAGTTGAAATCACGCTGGACAGTAGCCTCAAATATCCGGATCATAAGTGCAACCTCTGCTAGTGCGTAGGTACATTAAGTCAGTCGCGGTTCGTGTTTACGTCAAGTTTTATATTTGAACAATTTAAAAGTCAACATGTGAATCCGTGCCTGCCCTCAGATTTGCTAAGCACTGCGGGTGTCCACGAAAACCGTAACTCAAAATAGATAGCTATTCAAATGCACACAGAATCGCCATGGTTCTGATAAAATAACTTGCCTTAAAGGAAGTTTGATGCAACATAATTGTGAAAATCCTATCTAACGAAAGCGACGGTATCGCCGAATATTACTTGTTCAGTTTAGCGTTGGACGTACGAACTGTCGCTACCAAATCATTGCTTGCTTTTAATTAAGTCTTAACAAATACATACATGTTTCTGAACAATATTGTTAAAGGTAGCTATAACTCAACATTTCCGCGCATCGTGTGTACAAATTAATCCGATCTCTCTCAAGTAGGAACCAAAGTGCTTTCACATATTTTATATAGGCAGCAGAAGTTGAAGTACTGATTAATCCAGTTTGCAACTAGACGTAATACTTAGAGTACTGACCCAAATAAATCAAGCGATAGTATAAGTCAACAACTTGTCTGTTTGTAGCAAAAGGACGAATTTATTTTCTTTAAAAACCACTAGTCACAATCTATAGAGGGGGGATTAATGAATGAAGTCTATTCATGGATCCAAGGATCAATGGCTTGCTTATATTGACATAGTTCTTGTGGAGTGAACCATAAGTTGATCTCCCTGTTAGCGCTCTCAACAGAGTCTGATCCATGAACGACATTTCTTCCTACATCTTGACAGTAATCTCCTCTTATTGATCCAGGACAACTTGATTCAGGTTTAGTAGCGCCTAACATGGTACGTCCATTTTCAACAGCCTAAAATAAAAAACACCAAGAGTGGAAAATATATAAGTTAAATAGCAATGAATGTAATGACAGGTGGTAGATGCATAAGGTTAACTCTGTTGAAGCTAAAACAGAGGATACGACAACAGTGAGGGGATACTAAGTCTACAGTAGAATGACTACGTGTCTTACTTGGGTTTTCGACTATGCTACAGCTTAGAGGTGAGTCATACTTCTTAGGCTAACTGCTTAACAATGTAGAGCCGTTCTAATAACTAGGTTTTCAAGTATAAATAATTTTACCCTGCCGTTATGCAGACTAGAAAACTGACGGTGTGGAAAGTGATAACATTTGCCAGCTCTTGCGTCACTTAATAAAATTTCAATGGTCATTGCTAGGGACAGTGATGATACACACTTATTAATGAGAGACTTACGGTTATATAAAAAAAACCAAATATCTTCTTAATATGTATGATCAGAACAATTTTGTTAGATAGTTGAGGATTTTACCATTTAAGACTTGACTTTGAGTTGTACTTTCTTTGCACAACGATCTAAGTGACTTACTCAGGGAGTCAGTTAAACTGATTTAGATCTTGAGCAGGCTAATTTGAGGATAGCAACTGTTTATACTTCTTACCATTCTTGAGGTATGATTTCTTAGTAAAATATTTATCGTTTCAACCGAAAACTACAGTCACCTCTTATTGCAGAGAAAAAATGTGATGTATGCTACATACTAGGTAATGTAGCAACTTCAATCGATGTTGTTTGGGTGACTGCAGAAGAGTCCTGAATAATAATAGATGAAGAATGTTCCGGGGTGCAATTTAATGATATCTGGTCAACAAGGTAAAGATAGATATGCATCGTAATGTCACGATCAAACCTTAGATCAGACACACTGACGTAGGACTCAGTGCTAGTTGATTGCCGGGATTGCAAAGCCGTTGTATAGCAAGACTAGATAAATTAAACCGTTTCTACATAGCAAACCAGAAATATCAAAGACGACTAGTATTTAATTCGTTAGATAACCATGATTATATGCACTCATTGTTTCCATATAAATCATATACGAAAGTTTGAATCTGAGTCATGAACTCCTCATCTCGGGGATTCATTCATTAAAGCGACTAAGGGTGGGATTAACTGAGGCGCCTCAGTCAATACTGGCACATCATCCAGACTCGTATTTCAAAATAACATATATTTTAGTCACCTAAGATAGACACGTTCACTGTGATTACAGGTACAGAGCGCACAGATATCAGTCCGTCTAAACAAAAGGCTAATTCCCATTAAGTTATCTAAGTAAGGAATTACAAGCAGCTTGGAAGTATCTGAGGAAAAAAATGCGTTAGAGCACTATCTAATGCAATAAAGCCTTTCTTGACTTACCTTATGGCCTTCGAAAACCATTGGTACAACAGGTCCAGATGACATATATGCAACAAGTTTTGGAAAGAATGGGAGGGATTTGAGCGCCTCGTAATGAGTTTGTAACAGCTGTTCTGAAGCATGCATCATCTTCATTGCAACAAGCTTATAACCTCGCCTTTCAAATCGCTGAACAATTTCTCCAACAAGACCTCGTTGTACTCCATCAGGCTTGACCATAATAAACGTCCGTTCCATGTTGCGAGAATTAATCCAACGAATGGCGCTCAGTCGAGTAAACGCACGTGAAAGGTACAATCAAACAAATTGTGTAATAAAATTGTAAATCATGAATAAGCGACTTCTGTTTTTGGAATTTTCTAATAATAATTATTGTTACTAGCTAGCAAATGTATCGGTACGCATCAGTCAATAAGATTTTGTGTATTACTAGATAAGCAATATAGAAGCGTGAGCCGATAGAACTGCAAAACAAAAGAATCAACGAAAAGGTAAGACGAAAACCCAGAAAGGAACAGAATCTACCTAAATTTATCAATAATGGCAATCAACAACAGTCAGTAATCATGTAAGATGTATATTGAGGATCTTCAAAGAGAAACTAAGAGCGGAAAGCGTGAAGATTTCTTACTCTTACTAGGAAACTAATTGATTTCTCCAACCTTATATTTCATGTGAAAGTACGTCTACAGGCTTTTGTCATCTACGGGTATAGGTATTCTAAGAACTCAGTCACATTAATCCTACCCCTCTTACACGGGGACTGATATATCTAAGCTTTAATGAATACCTCAGTTTTAGCCCAAGAGAATTCATAAAATCAGTAGTTATCGAGTTGCAGGGAAATATTCTGGTTAGAAAAAAATATTTTGATGGAAATCACGGTTCAACGTGAAGACAAATCGGAGTATCCACAGATAAGATCCGAACATAGATAACTAGGAGAAAATAGAACTTGTGTAGATAGTTGAAATAAATGTAATTTAAATGACTAGGTTGTTTGAAAGGTATAGCGCGAATACATTACATTTTTCAGAACAATTACGTCTTTTCACTGCTCAATCGAAATTTATACAAGTGACTAATTGTTTTAAACTTTCAATTTTGCCTGTTTTTATTTATGATTCCACTGTATGTTCCCAGAAGCTAGACTGATTATAATATTAGAGTTGAGTTTACTTCAGTTATTCCTGCTCTATCGTACCATTGATAAGCGTTCTTAATTTGTTGACTGCCGTTTTTTGACTGTTTACTCACAATACTAGTGAGCATAGTTTATTTCACGCCACATTATATCCTATGTCAACTAGATTCAAACACTTCGGATCTATATCTGACATTAGTTGAAATTATCTCTCAATTACATCTCTCTCAAAAATGGACAAAGAGAAAGCTGTATTACAAGGTTTCCACTGATATTTTTCTTACCAAAACAACAATTAGCATTATAATTGAGTTGATACCACCTGCAAGTTGAGCTGATAATACTAGAATTCGGTTTGCTTCAGTGGAAGTTTCCGTAAAGTGATACTGATACTTTGGTAGCTTAGGATATTCTGTTTATTGTTAATTTGATAAATTGTAAAACACTGACGACCTGGAGCAGCGTATTAGCCACTCAGGATACGCTAACTAGTTACATGAAAATCAGCAGATTAAAGCAATAAACAATCAGTGGAAAAATGTCTTTGATCTGGAAGCCAAGCCGCGAACGTCTAATTATTTCTTATGGTGGAAACTAGAATGTTGAGTTCACATATAGACAGATACAACGCAGAATTTCGTACATAAGTACATCAGTTCAGGTTGCCATGCCCCATCAGTACAGACACGCAACTGTCAGTTCAAATCCAAGAGTGATAGCAATAATAGAAGTAGTAGCAGTAATGGAGAAGATTAGGGAGCGAAGATATGATTTGAGAAGCATAATTCAGTAAGATAAATTTAGAAGGAGAAAGATAGATATTATGAGGAATTCAGGAGGTTAGAATTTGATAGAATACAAGGAGTGGATGCACCTTCACCATTGCAAACGATTCTGAGTCATGTCGTTCAAGGTCTTTAACCATTGGTGACTTTCGTCTCGCGGACCCCAACCAGGTAGCCAACCTACATCTGCAAACATGACTCAATTCACTTGTCAGTGACTTCATGGATTTGTGCCATGTTTTGGTTTGGCCGCCCCTAGCTTTCTTCCAATCTACTGCTACACTACAAACCATATCTCGTCGCGGCAGTCGGTGGTTAGCCATACGTAACACATGTCCCAACTACCTCAAATGATGAAGTTTCACTACTTCATCTATTGATTTGCAGTCCTTACCTAGAACTCGTTTCCTGACGACAGCATTGCTTATACGGTTGTCCCATGATACACGAGCACTGCTTCGGAAACATCGATGATCGAAGACTAGCAACCTACGAAAGTCCTCTACTCTCAACGGCCAAGTCTCGCATCCATATTTTAGGACGGAACGAACTGTTACGCAGTAGACTCGTCCTTTAGTTGGCCCACGGATATCTTGCCTACTCCATAAGTGATGCAAGTTGGCAAAAGCCAGTCGAGCCTTCTGTATCCGCTCTGAGATTTCGTCAGTCACCAGGCTATCAGCACTGATGAGACTCTCCAGATAAGTGAAGCGCTCTACACGCTCGACTACATTCATTCCCTATTACTAGTTCAGCGGCCAATGCAAACCAGTCCTGAAGCAACAGTTTGCATTTCGACGGCGAATATCGCATTCCGAACATGCTTGCATTGTTGCTTAGGGAATCTGCATTTTGTCATCGGCATATTCTAAGTCGATAAGCTAGCCTCCTGGTAAAAGGTCTACTCCTGAAAATTCAGTTTAGGATAAGGTTACATCTAGGAATATGTCTACGATAAAATTAAACAAGAATGGAGAGAGCAGACATCCCTGACGGACATCACTTGAAGTGATGAATTCCAGTGACAGTTCGCCATAGGCTCTCACTCGACCAGTGGTGTTCGAGTAGATAGCTTGTATAAGGTTAATGTACTTCTTTGTTACACCTTTCAATGAAAGACGCTGTCACAGAACCTCACGATCCACAGAGTCAGATGCCGCTTTTATGTCCAGGAAGACAACTATCGTAGGACTTCTAAATGTGCGTCTTTGTTCCAGGACCTGTCGTAGTGTGAGAATGTGGTCTATACAGCCACGATCAGGTCGATAATTTTATATATCAATTTCAGGATAGCGTCATAATTCAGACTTATCATTCCACAGAGTTATCTTCAACAGCTGAGATCAGAAATGATGCAAAGTTACTTAGGTTAGGTTTTGAAAGTTAAGTTGGAGTTCTCAGTTTGGATTTTTAAGTCAAGATTAGGGTTTTCATAACGAAACGATATCAGTTACAAAGAAGCTGTAATTAGCACTCTACTTACTCGAAATATATTCCACCATCCAGTCAGTCATGTTGGCTAGTTCTACCTGAGTTACTGTTCCGACAAGTATATTCAAGGTTTGATGCACATTATTTAATTTTTCAAATCAGGATTAGAGCTTTCATTACGAAAGGATATCAGATACGATGCAATAACTTAGCATTCTATCGTTTACAAACTCAAAAGACTTATCGTTGAAATTTGGAGTAGTAGTTAGAAAGAGAATATTTTATCAAATTTCACCAAACACTCTCGACATTGTATCATACCACGACAAGTACTTTAACACACAATTTACGTTAAGAGTAGTTATGTCTTGTTATTAGCCTAAGCACCACCTTGAATTTATTTTTCGACTTCTTGATATATATTTCGATTAAGCTCAAGCATTTTGGATATTGTATATTGCCAATTCTCACTTCGTCAATAATAACAAATAAGATATCTCAGTATTTTAAATTTTGCAAAAACAGACGAGACATTATTTTAATTTTGATTTGCTCACTCAACATCGTCAGTTCGATTATGTGCTAATTTGCTTCATTGACAGTATAAGTTAATTTTTGTCCGGCCCACCAGAGCTTATCGAGTCTTTGTTACATGTTTATGTCAGTGTGTTTCGAAATTCCTACGACTACTTTATTAACCCTTTGAAAAGAGGACGAGGTGGTACTTTTATTCGAGAAGGCTTGTCCGGACGTGAGTGGAACTGCTTAGATTATTAGCCAGACCTTATTGCAACCATTTAGTTAGTAATAGTTGACATAATTCTCGACACGTTACTTCGTAGCTGATTCACTTCATTTCCGTACAAAGAACGATAAATCCACCTAGCAGTCTTCGTTTTGTCCATGAAGCTAGTTTTTATGCCAAGCACTAAATAACATTCTTAAGAGCTGCTCTTTTTCTAGACAAAACTAGAGATAGGACTCTTGCTAATTGATTACGCTTTGAGCTCTTTTGTTAGTGCAGTTTAATTTGAACATGAAAACGTCTAGCCATTTTGGTTATTCGGGAATGAAACTCTGTAGAGCGTATTCTGCCAGAGTGTATAGATTTTGATGGGTTTTATAATAGTACAGATTCCACCAGGTGCCCTGTACCAGCTGCTGATGTAATGAGTATGCAAAAAATGATCCTCCAGTTCTGAATGAACTCTCTGTTTACCATTTCAGTGATGAAAATTATTTATGTGGCTGTAGTGCCTCCACATATCTTCCAGTTCTCTTACATCTAACTTGGTTAAGCCCTTTCGATTAATTTATCTAACCAAGCCATTTGTATAGCAACAACTCATATGTACCATTGGTATTTTTTATTATCTGGTTTGTATGAGCTTGTACGACTGAGCATTGCTTACGCCTACGCGCTTACTCATCCTTTTTGCTTTAATGTTAATCTCTTAATTTCCCCATGAACTCACATGATTTGTGTCGCTTGCTTTTGACCTTGTCAATCATTCGTCGCTTTTATTCATGTGTGTGCGTGCCTATTTCGCTTGTCATATGTCTGTCTTATTTATGCCTGACTATATATTCTTAGTCATGCTCTATCTCTTTGAGTTGGCTCTTAGCCTTCTCCAATTCGCTTCTCCGATTCGCTTCGCTTTGTGGTGTGTCCCGAATAAACGTATTCATCAATACGAGTTCATATTCTGATTTATAAACCGAGCTATAAGAACACGCATTAATTCGACACACTACACGGCTACTGGCAATATCGTGAATCGCTTCATGCATATGATTAGAGGTAACCTTCAGACGTCAAGATAAAATATTTTGGTGCCCCCCCCAAATGAAATTTCTGAACAGTTGCATTCGTTCCCCGAAATCGGACACATAACAGTAACTAAAGCTTATTGAAGATAGAGAGCTTCTAAAATGGGATATTGTTCGGAGTTCAGAAACGTTTTACTGGTGAGTGTTTTACTGTGAGTGAGAGAAAGTCGGAAGTACTAACTGTGAAAACACGCTTTCATATATATTCTGATCTACGCATTTGAATGTGGTTCTCAAGTGTCTTTCGCGTGATTTCGAATGGGGGTTGGCCGTCAGAAAATCATCAGCATATTCCCGTCCAAAATGTATGTATCAAAACAGATTGTCTATCGATATTCCAAGTGCTTTTGCTCGTTTTCCAAACCGGAGGAATGTGCTACTATTCGAGAAGTAGAGTGAGGTGCTGAAAATAAGAAATAAAGATAAAGGCGGAAGGAGTAAAAGAGAAATATTCTTGAGATGGTGGAGAATATTTGTAGCTCAGGTGGATGATTATGGTGGTGGTGTTTGGTTCTCTGAGCTGAGTGTTTTTCTTGTGAAGCTTTAATTTTTCTTCTGAACAATATCATCAGCGCAAACTTCTGTCTATCAGGGAACCAAACACCACCACCATAGAAAATATTCTTGTTTAAAACTGAGACATGACTGAGCAGATGGGTTTTTGGATAAAACAAAGTATGATTATTTGGACCTTTCTTTTTCCTCATCAGAACACTAACTGTACACAATCATTTACATAGGTAATGTGAGACTCCACTAGTAAGATAACGAATGTGCAAATTATTTATTCATTTGTTTATTAGTTACATACTGCTATATCGAAAGGAGCTATAAGCAAACACATAAGTTCTTCCTCATAGATATTGGGAAGATTGAGGTTATCTCCCCACCATCATTAACGCTGATCAGATACACCTCCCTCATTTCTTTTGTGATAGTAGGCTCTCCTATACTTAATGGTTTGTTTGCAATCACGTTCCAGTCTAAGCTCTAGATTTAGTTCATTTTGTCTGAGTACACTTTCTCTACAAGCTCCACATTGCAGGAAAGCCAGAAAACTTTAGCTTCTGTAAGTTGGACTATATATCAATGGGGCGTATCACCCTGCTATTGGGATGATTAATGATATAAATTTCAAGATATGGGTCAGTTAGTAGGTAGTTTGGATAAAGGAAGGACAGGTAGCCGAAAAAAGAAAATGAAGGTAACTAGTGTTAAACATTCATGAGAAGGGCGATAAGTAAGTGTGAAACAAAGGTGTTTGGATGTTAGTGAGTTGGGGTACTAAAAGTTCATTTAACTTTTAATCCATGAATAGGAATTATCTTGCAATGAAAGTTTGATTTCTTTGTGATCATCAGTAGTTCAGCAGCAACTACAGGCGTTTTGATTTGTCTGCCTCCTAGAAATAAAAACTAAAATTGAAGTGAAAATATGAAGATAATGATGTAAATTCAAATATATGGGAGACTGAATTTCAGGTGTAGGACCATAATGGCGTGACCTACTGCTGTTAGTATGAATAGGGCAATCTATCTATCTGTCGTTTCGTGATACCTGTGTGAATTTCGATGCGGGCGAAATATATTAATGGTCTGTCAATAGTTTCTAGGCTTTGTCTAAATACTAGGTGGACCATACAAATTTATTTTTTTATAGGAAAGTATTGAGCTGTTTCTCAACCGATGGCACCATAGAGGTTGAAGGGGAAAATGTTTGCATCTTTCTGTGTAGTTGGGGGTATGGTTTCATCCTAGCGATCGCAATGAGAAGCTTCTATATATATTTTCTACGCGTATTTTATCTGTGATACGTTTGAAAATATAAGTGAGCATTATTCAAGGGAGTGCCTATACATATTTTAAAAAGGATAGGCAGAAAGATGTATCCAGCTTCTTACTCAAACTTTCCTTCTGTCCACCTTAAAACACACTAAAATCCATTATTTTTACTCTCTGTACTCCCTAAGTGTAAGGCCTTATTATTACGGATTATCTTACTTTTAGTGGTCTGTATGGATTATATCTTGACTTACCGATGCTTTGTCTACTCCTCTATGAACGGTTAAACAATGCTCGGGCTGTATATATATAGTTGCCTTGTTGAACTTTTTTATCTTTCTTTTGTTTCTTCTCAGAACCCTTTCTAAAGTGAAACAACCATGTACTTCTACTTAAAAACCATCTTACGTACGCACTAGTCAAGGTCACAGCTTATATCAAGCGCCTTAAGATGAACACTTTCTAAAAAAACCACTCATGAATTATGCAGATCACTCAAGAACTCTGCTGTGTACCTATCCTATCTGTAATGCCTTGTTGAAAATGTGACTGTATCGAACTGTTCCTGTCAGTGACATAGTGCTAATTCGCCGTCAGAAACATTCTCTTATTAATCATATAGCAGTACAACTTTTTACAGTAAATGTGGTAGCACTTGTAACAATTTCATCTAGCCTGTAAACTGGCAGGCCATAATAACACGCCGTTATTTAAGAGTAAGTATATTATTATCTTTCGCTGGGACCGGTTGTGCCTGATACGTGTCTCAAAACTTGCTATTTATTATTATTATTTCCTCATATCACAAAAACTCAGGTTCGTGCACACTTACTTACTGAGAGTTGTCCCAACTTGGAATGCTCTCTCAGCTGAGGTGACCACAGCCCCCTCAACTGACAGCTTTAAGAAGAGACTTGAGAAAAACATGCTTATGGATTATCGTCTCCCTCGTGGACAAGCTGTGCATGATGCATGCCCTGAGACTTGTTAGTTATTACTGCTGCAATCTCGTCAGATCAGTAACTCAGTCCTTCTCGCTTATCATCTCTACTTCCCTTACTCTGCTTATATTTCAGTCCTACCGCACAGTTTTCACTGCCAATTAGTAAACTAAATTATCCATTATTTACTTGGTCCTTCAACCTTACTCTTAATAGGATCAAAAATTTCTCCTGGTTATTCCACATACTGCAACTCACTGATCTCCGGTCTTGCAGTATAATCGCGGCTGGTATCCAGAAACCCTAATGCCCTGAAACAAACGTATTCATTTAAATCACAGGATATACAAATTCACAGACAACTGACAACTGACTAGAATTAAACAGTCTATTCATTGGACACTACCAAAAACTCGAAACCGTACCGGAAGAACCAGAATCGAGCCCAAAGAAATCAATCCGTTTATAGTAACTCGTGAAAAAATGTTAGATTGAATATTGAATATCGGTTGTCATAGTGTCACCGCGATAGCTTTCGAAAATGCATGACTGCTTGAGGGCGAAATGCTTTATACTTGGTTAGTTCCAATCATTTCTAAGTAAGTGTTTAGGAAGCCAGTACTGTGGAAAAACAGCAATCGTCCAGTCATTTTGCAGTGATGGCCGGGACTTTTCGAAGAACTACCGTATGGTAATTGTAGTTATCTAATATAACAAACGGAAATTCAGTCGACATCAGTTGAATTCATTGTTAAAACAGTGACAATACCAGAGGTGAATGGCAGTATCGTGCGGTAAATTGAACAATAAAGAACTTATTTCTTAGGAGTTGTTTTTGTATGACGTCCCAGGTCAAGAGGTTTTTCATGATCTGATCAATAATTATGTAGGACATGTGTTATTTTCATAGGTATAGATTAATGAAGCCAACCTTATTGTTGTTGTTTTCGATGTAACTGATTCTCAAAGTTTTTCCAATGCAGAGGTTACCTTAGCGGAATTCCGGAAATCCCTCAATGATATACGTATACCGGGTATGCATAATTTCTCATCGTACATGCGGAATTTAGTTGCTTTGGTTGGAAATAAAACAGATATTAAATCAAGGCGTGTCATCACCATGGAAAAAGCTCAGCAGTTGGCGAATGATCTAAATATACCATACTTTGAAACTTCTGCTGTAAGTGTTTATTTTTTAGTTTCTTTGAGGTTTGATATACATCACTCATTTTATAAGTCAAATTGGCAGGTATTCCAAAGATATAAACTGAGCTTAGACCTTCGTTTTCCTTTAAGTCCATGAAATATATCATATTAATGCAAGGGACACACATATAAATACATATATGAATTTTTTGCGAATCAACCGTATTATGAGCTTCTGAAGGGTTTTGCTCAGAAGTCACCATCTGGATACAGGTTTCAGTAGAATATTTGAAGAAAAATGTGCAATCGTACTACAGATTTCATGCATATCTTGGAACGATCAGTTGGCTTTTGTAGTCTCTTAGCAGTACTTGACAAGTCATTCAGTATTTAGATTGGGTTATTTTACACAAAGTTTAAGTCATGTTTATGTCAAGTACCATTCGAAAACGCCCGTATTAGTTTGCTCAACTCCTAGTTTCAGAGTCTGTAATCGAATGAAGGGGTATTGTTTTTAACTTCTACAACAAACAGGTAAGGTCTTGTTGATATGTTACTAACACTCTAATGATAATGTACCATGTTAAGAATATGACGAAACTACACCTGAATTCCAGTACCTTGTCATTAGATATTGATTAGATTACTTTCACTGAAGCACCGAACAATCAAAAGTCTATTTACTTAATAAGAATAGCAGTGTAGATAATTTGACAAGACTATATATAATTCATGAACAAACCAATCAAATTCAAGATAACTGCTAGTCTTGGATTTAATCCAAAACATGCATATGGCTAAATAACATTCTGGTACTACAAGTGATGTTAATTCGTAATGGAAACTATAATTCTTGTTCCTAAACTTAACTTCTGACCTACATCCCCAGTTCTTATTCCTGACAATAATCGATAAACCAACCCAACCAAGTTTTTCAAAGCGACTATGGTTGTGGCTCATACATTATCCATAAATTCTAGTCCCGTTGACATTTTAATAAGCTTTGTACTACTCATTTTACTTGTTACTTGAGCTTATATGTATTCACTGATATTCAGTGGCATATGGATTTGTTGATCTTTTTCAAGAGGTTTGTGGACAAATCTATGGATCCAGTTAAGGGCTTTCTTTATATAGAGATGAGTACCTACTTTCTTGTAGGAAGTGATAAGCATGCGAAGTGACCGTAAAATTATTTACAAAATTTGGGGTAAATCAATCTCATCCAGTGGCAATACAATCCATCCAGTCATTTAGTCAGTTACAACGTAGAACTTTGAAGGTACACACATCAGTTCAAGTTGCCATTCCACATTAGCACAGAGACACCAATTTTACTCCGAATCCCATAGTAGTAGAGGTAGTAAAGGTGTTAACATTAATCGGAGTGATTAGGGCTCAAGGATATTATTGAAGAAGTAGAATATACTGAAGGAAACTGTCCTATCTTACCACATCTAAAACATTTAGCATTACGAAATGTACAATAATAGCGAGAATGAAGTTTTCCGCATGATAAACATTTGCCAAACTTGGTCTCACCTTTTTGATTTCCTTTGTAATTCTTTTTTGAGACACCGTTCATTTTTACACGAGAATAGGAACCACTGTTAAACGAACACAATTTTGATTGACCCTGAGATTGCTTTTCATCATGACAACTAATCAAAGTATTGGAAATCTTCATCGACTGAATATCAAGTTCATTCAACGCCTCGTAGTTAATGCACGCAGTTCTAACATCTTGAAAGGAACAGTTTGACATTCTTAACAGCTCTCTTTCCAAACTAGGTATGTTAATTCCTGCAATTAATCGGTCTCTCAGCTGCACATTAAGTTGATCACCAAAATTACATTTGACAGCCTGTTTCTGCAATTCAAGAATGAATTCCTTAACATTTTGGTCATTTTGACGAATCATCTTATGAAATTTCGCTCTTTCACGGCATTCAAAACCAGGGCACTTTACATAATTCAATAATAACTCCTTAAGCATTGCATAGGGAAGTGAAATAGGTTTTTCTGGATATGCCAAGGTTTTCAATAAGCTGTACGCTTCTTTTCCGATGAATGTTAGGAAACGAGCCACAATTTTATCATCTTTGACATCTTTCCTGGTCATACTCCAGATTTCAAACCTTTCCAAATAATCTTCAAAAGCTTCAGAAGTAGAATGAATATCTAACTGTTCCATTACAAATTCCATCGCGACGCCACTGTGATGCTTAGAAGTATATGAATCAAGAATTAAAGGTATGCACAAACGAATGTATTGTATTTAGAATTCGAAATCAAGCATTTCACAACAACAAGAAGTTACTAGTTCATTCAAACACCACAGAAACTTAAAGAGAAAAAGATAAAAATGATGAAGAATCCAAAGGATTAGGATTTGAGAGAAGCTAAAAAACAGATACACCTGCACCATTGCAAACGGTTTTGAACCATATCATTCAGGATCTCTAATAATCGATGACTATCATCTCATGGATCCCAACCAGGTAGTCTATATCTACCAACATGACTCAGTCCACTTGTCAGTGACTTCATGGATTTTTGGCATGTTTTGATTTGGCCGTCCCTAGTTTTCATACAACCTACTCTTACACCATGAAATATCGCTCATCGTGGAAGTCAGTAGTTGAGCATACGTAGTGCATATCTCAAGAACCTCAACTGATGAAGTTTCAATACTTCATCTATTGATCTGCCATCCTAATTTAGTGCTCGTTTCCTAACATGATGTACTCTATAGTCTCAAGATAAACGAGCAATACTTCGAAGAAACCGATGATTGAATACTAGTAACCTAAGAATATCTTCTACCCTTATCGGCCATTCTTCGCATCCATATAGTAGGACGGACGGAACTGCGGAGTACTAACTCTTTCTTTAGTGAGCAGACGGATATCTTGTCTATGCCATAAGTGATGCAAGTTGGCAAAAGCCAATCGAGCATTCTGTATCCGTGCTCAACTTTCGCCAGTCACCAGGCCATCAACAGTAATCAGACTCCAAACATAAGCGAATCGGTTGACAAGCTAAACTGCTTCACTCTCTATCACTTGTTCAGCTGCCGATGCAAGCCAATCCTGAAACGACATTTTGCATTTGAATGGGAGAAACGCATCCCAAGACATGCTTGTACTGTTGCTTAGGGTGAAGTGATCAGAAGACTCTGCATTTTGTCAGCGTTATCACTACGTAGAACTAGTTTGAAATATCACTTAAAGTCCCTAGAAACTGGTCTCTTTTGCTGCTTATTGTCCGTATTCGCATTAAGTTCTAACAACCTCCAGTGTGTTTTTCGAGAGCCATATTAATGTACTCGACTTTTTTTCAAAACTTCTCAAACAATCATTCAGCCAGTGGACCTACCCATTCTATGAAAAAAACACAACAGACCCCTAGATGTTCGATATTTTTTTCATCAACAAACAAACATAACAACAAATAGATAATGTTTCTGAATTACCGATCAATTTTGTAGCTCTTACTGACTACTTACTACACTTACCTGGAATATTTGAACATTTTTTTAAAAATGAACTATGTGTACTCCATTTAGTAAGTACATCATCTTATCTTATCTTCATGATCATTTTTAATCATGAGAATGAATGAATATCTTAGCTAAGTTGATTTCCGTTTCACTATACTGATCAATCATAATTATATTTTGCAATGTTAGTTAATTGAACAGCTTAATGTGCTTCTTATTTTTGCTCTACTATACTTACAGAGGTAGTAAAAGTATTAGCATTAATCCGAGAGATTAGGGTTCGACGATATTATTCAAGAAGTAGAATCTACTGAAAAAAACTCAGAGAAAAAGTTAAAGGTGATGAAGAATCTAGAGGATTAGGATTTGAGAGAAGCCAACAAATAGATACACCTGCACCCCATTGCAAACGGTTTTGAGCCATGTCATTCAGGGTCTCTAACTATTGGTGACTTTCGTCTCACAGACACCAAACAGGTAGCTTACATCTACCAACATGACCAAGTCCACTTGTCTGTCAGTGACTTCATGGATTTGTGATATGGTTTGGTTTGGCTGTCCCTAGCTTTCTTCCAACGTAATTCTACACCATAAAACATAGCTCGTCGAGGTAGTCGGTGGTTGGGAATTCGTAACAACACATGTCCCAACCATTTCAACTGATGAAGTTTCAATACTTCATCTATTTATCTGCCATCTTTACATAGTAATTGTTTCCTAACTTATAGCATTGCTTATTCTGCTGTCACAGGATATACGAGCAATGCTTCGAAGACATCTTTAATTGAATTCTAACAGCCTACGAATATCCTCTACTCTTATAGGTCATCCGAATAGTAGGATTGAGCGAACTGCTGCGCAGTACATCCGTCTTTTGATTAGTAAACGGATATATCGCCTTCACCATAAGTGATGGAAGTTGGCGAAAGCCAATCAAGCCTTCTGTATCCTCAGAGTATAGTTTGTAAAGTGTCTAGTATAATATTTTCAATAATGTTTAACAGCGACCGTTACCAAAGATGCTTTTTTGTTTTTTTCTCAGTTTAAAATACCTTAACTAAATACAGTTGTATATATGAATACGGATGAGTAAATAAATACAAATCTGCTTTTTGTTCAACAATCTTGTTAGGAAACGAGTACTTACTAGGTAAGGATGGCAGATCGACAGATGAAGTATTGAAACTTCATCAGTTCAGGTGGTTGAGATATACACTTCATGAGAATGAATGATGAATAACTTAGCTAAGTTAATTTCATTACATTTACACTGTACTGATTGATCAATCATCATTTTAATTTGCAATGTTAGTTAATTGAACAGTGTAATGTGTTTCTTATTTAAATTCATTGTTTGTTTTTTCTATACTTACAGAAAGAAGCATCTGGTATTGAAGTTCCTTTTTTATATCTTATTAAAGAGTATTATGAATTGTACAAAAATGCAATTCGTGATTATCAAGCTTTATAGAATTGATTATTATTATACACAACGTTCATGTAATGTAATGTAATACGTGTTTTGTTTTTTTCGTTTTAATAACGTCTGGAAAATATGTTTAAGGTGATTACTGTTCAGTAAGAAATAGCTTTGAAACACTTGTTGAAAAAAGTGAACTCCAGTAATCTTTAAGTGATGATACTATTGTCAACTCCAGGTTGTGTATATACTACTACTATAATAAAAATTAAGACTTAAGCTGTTGCTGAACAGTTCATGTGTAATGATGATAGATATTTGAGTCATTTCAAGTGTTTTTATGCCGTTTTTTCTTTTGGTAAGTTAGTTATTTTGGTGGGATGAGGTCGCCAACCCCATGCCCAACACCCATCCTTTTGTAGGGTTCGTCACTAGGTATGCTTGAAGCTATTACGACGAGTTCACCTTAGTCGATAAAAGCGAACGAGAAAATCAACCAGAGTCCAGATAGGCTACCTTGAATCTTAAGCTGTAAAACAGAAGTCTTGGTAAGCGTAGAAAGTATATTCTACAAACACCCAGCAATCACAATGCAACCAAGCACACAACTCTCGTTTATTTATACATCATAGATACGTCCTTCGGACAGTTACGAAAATAGCACACTAAAATGATACAGCAGTCAATCATAGCCATGGATTTTGCTGGTTGGAAATGAAATCTCAAGGTCAACTGATCAGCCCGTGCTGGCAAACGTGAAATCCAAATAGTAAGGCATTTATCAAGCGAGTTTTGGGGATCTAACATTCCCGACATTTAACTTTCCCTAATTTTAGTTTTAGCAGTTCCTAAATTTTCTGTATAGACAACTTCAGATACATATATTGATACATACATATTCAAAGTATATCGTTCATGAAACTTGTAATTGAGTGTCATATTTGTGTGTCATTCATTCGTTTCATACGTTTACCTACTGAAAAATATTTAAGTAGTTTCATAATCAATCAGTCAATTAAAAAAAAATACAAGACAACTTAGAATGTGTATGCCTATTGATTTAAGTTGCTATACCCTATGAGCGCAATGAAATTAAATTATCATAGCAGATTGAAAAATTAGAAGGGAGACAGTGATACTATTAGTAGTAATAAAATAGATTATACATCCGAATGGAGCAAACTGGAAAAATAATGAATAAAAAGTTTACAAAAGGAATTTCAAACCTAAAATCTAAGATAAGATCAAACAGTAGATTCATGAGTATTGTTTCCAAAAATTTCGAGTCATATCAAACCATTGGTCACGATGATCTCACGAGGACTACAACCCACATTGTACGGTAACTTCATGAGTACAAAAAATATTTTTTTTCAGACAGAATGAGTCAAGAATTTTTATGTCAAGTCAAAATATAAAGACGCAACAGACGCAACCTTGTAAACCTAAGGGAAATTATCATATGTTATATACCTATATAACAATTCATTACTTGTTGTGTTGTTCAGCAGAAACATGCTTTAATGGCTTTAAAAAAGAATTGTGCTCATTATTAGAAATTGTTAGTGAATACTCGTTGTTATGCTCGTCTGTAGGTGTATGCTTAACAAGATTGTTTAACAAAAAGCAAGTTTGTATTTATTCATCCGTATTCATTCATATATACAACTGATTTCAATTGGTTTGTATTTTTAAATAGATTATAAGTGTTTCTTACAATAATCAAAAAAATACGATAATCATCCAACAAGTAGATGGAGTTTATTTGTGATGAATAACTGATTCCGTACAATCAAATATTTTTAAATGTAACTTGCGTCACCTATGGCGATGGCGATATATCCGTTTACTAATCAAAAGACGAATGTACTGCGTAGCAGTTCGCTCTATCTTACTATATGGATGACATGTAAGAGTAGAGGATATTCGTAGGTTATTAGTATTCGATTATAGGTGTCTCCGAAGCATTGCTCTTGTATCCTGAGACGACCGAGTAAGCAATGCTATCGTTAGGAAACGAGTTCTAGGTAAAGATGGCAAATCAGTAGATGAAGCATTGAAACTTGATCAGTTGAGGTGGTTGGGACATGCACTACGAATGCTCAATCACTGACTACTTCGACGTGCTATGTTTTGGGGTGTAGGAGCAGGTCGGAAGAAAGCTAGGGGCGACCAAACCAAAACATGGCGGAAATCCATGAGGTCACTGACAAGTAGACTGAGTCATGTTAGTAGAGTGAGTAGACTACCTGGTTGGGGGATCCAGAATATTACAGTCACCGATGGTTAGAGATCTTGAATGACATGGCTTAGAATCGTTTGCAATGGCGCAGGTGCATTCATCCATTGTATTCTCTGAAATCCGAAACTTTTTAATTCATCACCTCTATCTCTATCTAAACTTATCTCACTGAATTATACTTTTTGAATCATATCTTCGAGCTTGTTTTTTTCTAGTTATGATTGTTTTAGTGTAAACTTTCAATTGAATTTAATTTAAGCGGGCGGATAAATGAACATAAATCAAATAAATTTAGATATAAGAAGTGATAGTTAATAATAATAATAATAATAATAATAATAATTATTATTATTATTATTATTATTATTATTATTATTATTATCAAAATAGTAATTATGACTCATTAAAATTCATTAGTTGTGGAATAAATATGTGAAAAAACAAACAATCAAAAACATACTACTGATTATTGAAATCAGTAAGAAAAAAAATTAATTTAAATATTAGTGAAAAAAAATTAACAATTTTTCTCAGAAAAATAAATACACATCAAAAATACATTTAAATGGAAATGATGATTGAATGAGACAGTAATCGTTTTATTAGGTTCTTATTTAATATTATTGACAAAATAACGACAGACATCACTACATTGATTTTATACCAAAAAAACGAAATCACATGGAAAATTAATAGGTAGTAGTAGTTGTTGTTGTTTGTTGTTTGAAAGAAGAATGTGTGCACCGGCTTAAAGCAACGGAAAAATTTTCGTATAAATGATGAATTTTGTCACTTGTGAAAATTGTAATTTCTGTTGACTGAAACTAGAAAAAATAAGAAATAAGTAAATTTTAATTGGGTATAATTTTTAGGTCTCTCATGACAAGGCTACTACTACTATCAATTCAACTAATAATACTCACTCCTACAGTGGTGACAAAAATGACTGACAAGTGGACTGAGTCATGTTGGTGGATGTAGGCTACCTGGTTGGGGTCCACGAGACGAAAGTCACCAATGGTTAGAGACCCTGAATGACATGGATGCGAAACATGACCATTAAGGGTAGAGGACCTTCGTAGGTTACTAGTCTTCGATAATCGGTGTATCCGAAGCATTGCTCGTGTATCATGGGACAGCCGTATAAGCAATGCTGTCGTTAGGAAACGAGTTCTAGGTAAGGATGGCAAATCAATAGATAAAGTATTGAAACTCCATCAGTTGAGGTAGTTGGGACATGTGTTACGTAAGCTTAACGACTGACTGCCTCGACGAGCTATGTTTTGAGGTGCAGGAGTAGGTTGGAAGAAAGTTAGGGGCAGCCAGACTAAAATATGGCAGAAATCTATGAGGTCCCTGACAAGTGAACTGAGTCATGTTGGTAGATGTAGGCTATCTGGTTGGGGTCTGCGAGACGAAAGACACCAATGGTTAGAGACCTTGAACGACATGGCTCAGAATCGCTTGCAATGGCGCAGGTGCATCCACTCTTTGCGTTCTATGAAATTCTAATCTTCTGAATTCTTCATCATCTGTATCTTTCTCCTTCTAAATTTATCTCACTGAATTATACTTTTCGAATCATATCTTTGCTCCTTAATCTTCTCCACTGCTGCTAATAGTTCTACTATCACTATCACTATCAATCTTGGATTTGAACTGACAGTTGCATCTGTGTGTTAATATGGTATGGCAACCTAAAGTGATGTACTTACGTACGAAGTTCTGTGTTGAGTCTGTCTGTTGACAACAATAGTGACAGGGATTCCAGTAATGTAATGCAGTAATAATAATAACAATAATAATAATAATAATAATAATAATAATAATAATAATGAGGACAGTAAATTTTCATGTCCTTCAATGTTATTAGAATATAACCTTAAGTAATATGCAAGGTGATATTCAGTTATCATTAAGTGATCAATTAGTCCGATTATCCCGATACTAAAACAAGTTCTGTTAAGAGTCAGATAATCTGAATTCTATTGACAGTACTAGTGTGTTCATTACTCCAGATATACTGTATTAATTTGAGTCTAAACTATGGAAACTAATTCCAGAGCTTGAAACTGATGACCACCAATGACGCATAAGATAATAACTGTGTGGTATGTAGAAGTCATCAATCAGTCATTGTTAGACCACCATTAGAAACCTGGAAGCATTGAAAGACGACCGTTTCGTCCTAGTATGGGACTCATCGTTAACAGTGTGCATCCAAAACTTCTGGACGTCGCAGGGTCTGTAAATTTGGATTTGATTTCTGGAATGAAATTTCACCATGAACATTCTCTTGAAATTGCCCGTAATTAGTACTAACTTATAGTTGGTCTGTGACGTTTCGGTTGGAAGACTAAGAAGTTAGTTTCAATACAATAACTAAAGAAGTAACTATCCATATAAATCTGTTGTCTTATGTTGTGAATGCATCGAAGTTTGAAAATATGGACGGTGAGAAATAGACTCAGTGGTTGAATGCTATTTATCTTGTTGTAAGAACTGGAGATCTAAGGTAGGCAAGACTTTGCAGTACATTTAAAAATGGCACAATTCAGTAAATGTGAGTTACCATTGATCGATTTCTGTCTTTTATGAAATTCTTTGTTTTTTCAAGCTATTCAATTTGAATAGTACATTCACGTATGTAAAATCATTTTGGCGGGAAAATGTTTTCATAAATATCATGTATATTAATGATAAGAAATTTCTATTGTTAAGATATTCATAAAAATATATTCCCAGAAATTATTCTGTTAAGTCTAATTCCAGCCCACTTTTCAACATGTTTTCAGACACTTTTTCTCATATTTCATATGTACGTTCCTATTGGTCAGTTATTTACGTTAGTGGCCTAACTGTATAACTATGCATTGAGTGTAAAGTTCTAGGTTGTATTCTAACCCGATAAAACAATTTTCATCCGACAACGGTTTTGTGTTCTGATTAGTATTAGAGATTTAGGAAACAGAATTTGCAGTCGTACTGGAATTAGTGAGGTGATGGTCAGTCGGTAGAATTTCAAGTAGGCACATCGCGTACCACAACACTTATAGACATAGATTAATTTAATCGTCTTATAATCAAATTTGAAATCATCAATCAACTATTGTTAGACCACCATTGGAAACCTGGAAGCACTGAAAGACGACTGTTTCGTCCTGGTATGGGACTCATCAGTGGCAGTGTGCATCCACAACTTCTAGACCTCGCTGGGTTCGTAATCAAGACCTTCGGTCTCGTACACGAACGCATAACCTCTGGATCACTGAGCTGACCGGCATCCAACGTTGTCACTGTCTTACTCTGATCAATCTAGAGATTTTAAGCGACCTCAACCATTTATCTTTGATAGAAACTACCTACACCTTCGACAGGGTTAAACTCTACTGGTCACGTCTTTTCACTAGAATCCCGAGAATTCCCTCATACAGCTAGTCACTAGTGAGCACATTGTACGATATTTTCAATGAAAGTTATGCAGATTAGTGATAGTTTTTTTAAACACATTTAAAATGTGTCTATGATAATAATAATTGATCAATGTTAGATCACCATTAGAAACCTGGAAGCACTGGACGGCCGTCAAGTCCTGGTATGGGACTACTCATCAGCAGTGCGCATCCACAACTCCTGCACCCCACAGGATTCAAACCCAGGACCTTCTGTCTTATGGGCGAACACCTAACAATCGGACCACTCACTGAGCCGGTATCTGACGATGTTAATGTCTAACTTCGATCAATTCACAGAGTTGCGCAACCTCATACACCACAGTCTTCGGTATCAGTTACTGTCTACTACATCCAAACAGGTTGAACTTCACTGGTCACGTCTTCTCAACTAGAACTCGGAGAAGATTCTCCTCACTAAGCTAGTCACTCACTAATGAGCACAGGTAATTAATTTAATGCAAAAAAAAATCGTTTTGTCAACTTACACGAAATGTTGTTGTTGTTTTTTTATTTTCAAATTAAAAATAATAATAATAATAATCCAAATCTCAATTGAAAGAGTTGTTTACACAGTTTGTGATTTTTTTTGTGTTTTGTAAACAACAACAACAACAACATCATTGAAATAATGTATAAGCATATTGATAAAGAAATATGTATTGTGCCTGTGAAAAAAAGAAAAAAAGCAGAATGTTTGATTTGGGTGTTAGTTTGTCAGGAGGCATCAGCAACATCAACAACAACTCATAAAATGGTGAGTCTCTTTGGTAGTTACTATGGTGCGCGCTACTTATAAGTAGTATATGACGTGAGTGTAAATGTGATGTCTGGAAGCAGAAGATGGAGGAAGATCAACAAGAAAGGAAGAGTGGGAACACAATGGAATTTGTATGAAACGCATGAATAGTGAGTGAAATGTCAGACAATGTGGATTGATGATGGATTGAAGATGTGCAAATTAACAACGGTTTACGATATGGTTTTCCTATTTTATTGAGTAACTCTGTAATTTGCGATAAATACAATTTTCGGTTGCCCTCACCTGTGTTCTTCTTCACTACAGTTACTATGAAGTCTAAGTGTTGTTGATTACTTGAAATGATGAAGTTTGATATCATAGTTAGACAATCAATCTGTTGAGAATCGAGAGGTACTACTCGCTACACAACAGCTGTTACATAGGGTTGTGTATACCAAAGGGCAGACAAACCAAAATATGGCACAAATCTGTGAAGTCATTGACAACTGGATCGATTTATTTTGGTAGGTGTCGATTATCTGGTTGAAGCCCGCGAGATGATAGTGGAGATATCCGTCTACTCACTAAAGAAACAGTGTATTGCTCAGCAGTTCGGTCCGTCCCACTGTATGGATGCGAAAAATGGCCGGTAAGAGTAGAAGTGATTCGTAGTTTACTAGTATTCAATCATCGGTTTCTTCGAAGCCTTGCTCATTTCTCTTGAGACTATAGAGTACATCATGTTAGGAAACGAGCACTAAATTAGGATGGCAGATCAATAGATGAAGTATTGAAACTTCATCAGTTGAGGTGCTTGAGATATGCACTACATATGTTCAACCATTGACTGCATCAACGAGCGATATTTCATGGTGTAAGAGTAGGTTGTAAGAAAACTAGGGACGGCCAAACCAATACATTTCACAAATCCATGAAGTCATTGACAAGTGGACTGAGTCACGTTGGTAGTTGTTGACTACCTGGTTGGGATCCACGAGATGATAATAATCGATGGTTAGATACCCTGAATGACATGGCTCAAAATCGTTTGCAATGGTGTAGGAGTATCTATTTTTTAGCTTCTCTCAAATCCTAACTTTCTGAATTAATCATCACCTCTATCTTTCTCTCGCCCTAAATTTACCTCACTGAATTATACTTCTCGAATAATGTCTTCGAACCCTAATCTCTCCGATTACTTCTAATACTTTTACTACCTCTACTATTATTCAACTGCTGTTACGCGTTAGTTTAAGAACTCTTCAACAATGCACTTCACAGAGGGTAGTAGGACCTCAAGTTATCATTAGTGATGTGGGGCTGCAAAAAAATGGTTTTGTACAAAGAACACATCGTAAGAGCATACCTAGACTGATAACCTTGAGTGAACAAATCAAAATGAGGATAATGCTTCATGTATTTTTCATAAACTTTGAAATGTTGTGACATTTGATTTTTTTTCAGTATTAACGAAATTAAAGGTATCCACATAGATAGTCGCTAAAAAGTGTTTGAAATCAATTATAACTTATTATCCTGAAATCGAAAAGTCAATTCAAGGTTGTACTTAGTATTAGGATATTCATCCAATATCCTAAGGGGAATCATTGATCAATTCCTATTGGTTAATTTTATGGTCGTCCTAGATATCAGTGTCATGTACTCCAATGTTGTTTCTCATTGGTTGTTTTGACTGTTAATGTCACTCAAATTTTGTTTCCTATTGGTCGTCTTAACTGTCAATGTCACAGACTTTGATGCTGTTTCGTATTCGACCCAACTGTATATATACGCATTATCTGTAACGTTTAATGACCAGGATCCGGACCCGGATACCTAGTCCGGGATACTGATTCTCTTCTGGACTCGGACCTCGTACTTTTTGGATGCTTGTAACAGCGTCACAATAACATTTTTCAGATTTAACAAATCAGTTTAATACAACGACAAGTAAATGTATTAAATGCTGATGTCCAAAACGTGTAGTCTCATTTCAAAAACAGATCATTCTACAGATCATGATTTATATCACTTAAATCACCAACCGGAACTGATGTACACACATACAAAGTTCTACATTGTAACTGACTGACTGACATGTGAAGATGCTTATATTCAAGCAAATTATTACCAACTAGAAAATTGTTGTAAGACCAAGAAAATATTAAACAGCTATTTTTTTAGATGTGAACTCATTGATCTCAAGGTGTCATTTAACACATGATATCATTTAACACACAGATCAATAGATGAAGTGGTGAAACTTTATCAGTTGAGGTGGTTGGGACATGTATTACGAATGCCTAACCACCGACTGCCTCGTCGAGCTACGTTTTGTAGTGTAGGAGTAGGTTGGAAGAAAGTTAGGGGAGGCCAGACCAAAACATGGCAGAAATCCATGAGGATGTCACTGACTAGTGGACTGAGTCATGCTGGTAGATTTAAGCTACCTGGTTGGGGTCCACGAAACGAAAGTCACCAGTGGTTAGAGACCTTGACTGACATGGCTCAGAATCGTTTGCAATGGCGCACGTGCATCCATTCATTGTGCTCTCTCAAATCCTAATCTTCTGGATTCGTCAGCAGCTCTACTTTTGTCTTTCTAACTTTATTTCACTTAATTATACTTCTTGAATAATATCTTCGAACCCTAGTCTTCTTCACTACCATTAATACCTCTACTATCTTTATCACTATGGGATTTGAATTGACATCTGCGTCTCTGTGTTAATGTGGTATGGCAACATGAACTCAGGTACATACGTACGTAGTTCTACATTGCAACTGACTGACTGATCATTTAACACAAGATCTTTACGACTTGCATGTGATATCATAAATAAACACTATCAAAGGAGTCCATATGCATTACATATAAGCCTTTTTTAATGGTCCCTAGTTTTCAACAGTTCTTCAGTTAATCATCATCTACACAAACTAATATATATATATATATATATGATTATTCACTATTTAACACAGTTTAAAATTGTACATTTATCGTTTATTAATAATCGCGACAGTTCTACTGTATGGAGCGGAAACTTGGAGAACTACCAAAGCCATCATCCAGAATATACAAATATTTAATAGCAGTTGTCTACGCAAAATACTTCGGATTCGTTGGCCAGATACCACCAGCAACAACGTACTGTGGGAGAGAACAAACAAGATTCCAGTGGAGGAGGAAATCAGGAAGAAGCTGTGGAAGTGGATAGGACACACACTGAGAAAAGCACCCAACTGCGTCACAAGACAAGCCCTCACATGGGACGCTCAAGGTAAAAGGAAAAGAGGAAGGCCAAGGAACACATTACGCCGAGAAACAGAGAAAGACATGGGAAGAATGAACAAGCATTGGACAGAACTGGAAAGGGAAGCCCAGGACAGAGTTGGTTGAGGAAAACTGGTGGGCGACCTATGCTGCATTGGGGGTAACAGGCGTAAGTAAGTAAGTAAGTAAGTAATAATCGCGAAGTAGTTCAGCAGTAAAACTGTTTGAAATTCACTTACAACTTTTTGTACCATTGATGGACGACATCGTCTTAATTGTAAAATCATACCGGGTATATCATAATACATACAATTAGATTCTTTATACTGTTGTAATAAATCTGCAATAATAAATGTACCAGTTCGACCAACACCAGCTCTGTTATTATTTTTCAAAAAGAAAATAAAACAAATTGAAAAATCAGTATGAACATATAGATATATATATGTATGTACGTACGAAGTAGATGTGGGAGGTGGCGAAAGGTGGTCACGTCATCGAAACCTAGATATGTAAACAGCTAGCCCCCAGATTGTCGTCCATCAAGAGTAGAAAATCTTCCGCTTGACATCCTGCTTGATACCTTTTATCTACCAGCAGTCCCACCCCCCACGAGAACAAACTCAGTCACAAGCTGATCTCCGTTCTCGAGGCGATCCTCTCAGACAACGGGGAACAACAGTCAAGATGCAAGTTGACCCCAGGAGCGCACACTATTAAAAAGGGGGAAGTTTTGGGGATGTTAGATCCCCAGAACTTTATTTCACGAACCGATCAGTTGACTTTGAGAGCACATTTCCCACCAGAAAAATCCCTGGCTGTGACTGGCTACTGTGTCATTTTAGTGTGCTATTTTTGTGACTGTCCCAAGGACGTCTCTATGGTGTATAAATAAACGCGAGTTGTATGCTTGGATTGATTGTGTGCTGGCTGGGTGTTTGTAGAATACAATTTCTACGCTATATAAAGACTTCTTGCTAGTACATTTAGGTCGAGGGATCATAGTAGCCTACCTGGACTCTGGTTCATTGTTTTGTTCTCGTTATTCGACTAAGGTGAACCTGTAATAGTTTTAAGCATACCTACAGACGAGCATAACATATATATATATATATATATATATATATATATATATATATGTATGCAAGGTGAGCGAACATCTGGCAACATCGGTAAGTAATATCTTTTGCTGTCAACATGGTCAAAGAACTTCCCGCAGAACATCGGTAAATTCATTTTGAAGTTAGTTACTAGTGAATACGTTATTGATATATAGATAGTTGTTCAATGATGCATAGGTGTCCATCATCTGTGATTCCCTAGATGATGTCAAATCTTGTTTATGGTTTGAGTAGAAATTTGAGAATTAATAATAATAGTAATAATAATATCAACAAATAATAACAGGATACGAATGTGTACATAATCTTTAGTCATTCTGACTAACGATTACAATACAACCAGCTTGACAGAATTCTATTATGACAATAAACTAGACAAGAGATCAGTTGCTACTCGGATAAAGTTCAGAATGAATTTTTTCTGTCTACGACATTCAGTGACGGGATTTTGAATGTCATGGGTATTATTGATTATCTCAAGAATAAAAATACATTTTTATCAAGAATATCAATTGACATGAATTTGACTTTGTTAGGATATTCATTCAAACATCCTAAAAGAATTGTTATGTGTAACTCTAATTCTATTGGTCCATTACTATTGGTCGTCTTAACTAACAATGTCACATACATCAAACGTTGTTTCTTATTCAACCTAACTGTATAAGTATGCATTATCTGTAACGTTTTATGACCCGGATCCCGAGTCCGGGATCCTGATTCTCTTCTGCACTCAGACCTTGTACTTTCTGGATGTTTGTAGAATACAGGTTCTACTTCATAGCAAGTCTTCTTCTTTTATTCAAAGGGGGATTCGGGACGTTCGGATTAGACTAGCCTGTCGTGTCACTGGATCCTCGATCCTCATTCTTGTTTACTGACTAAGGTAAACTCGTAATAATAATCATTCAAGCCTATCAACATAACATGTTGGCGTTCATGTATAACAGAGTTCTAGAGAGAGAGAACCGTTTGTTAAACTGCTTACAACTAACTAACAAACATAAAGTCAATCCAATCAATGCATAAACTGCCAAAAAACAAACACAACCAATATCACATTACTTACGTGCAATGGACAAGTGTTGGTGAATCACGATGTGACTCATTGCATTTTATTTCATGATAATCTTTCATAAATAGCTGAAATTCATTTAATTTTGGTACATCAAAATCTGGCCAAGTGGTCATATGCAACTGGATCACATATTTACCATTGATTGTTGATTTATTCAATCGACTATTGATCTTATTTATGTAGAGAAAATTTATAAACAAATTATGATGAATTTTAATAGAAAATAAAATAATTGTTTTAAGATTAAGTTAATTCTGCAAGTAGACAGTATTAGGGACCTGGAAACACTGGACGGTCGTTTCGTCCACTGGTATGGGACTACTGATCAGCAGCAGTGCTCATCCACAACTCCTTCTCCTCGCAGGATTCGAACCCGGGACCTTCGGTATTGTGCGTGAATGCCTAATCATTGGACCACTGAGCTGGCCTGCATCTAACGGTGGTTATGTCTAACTCTGATCAATCTAGTGATTTTGCGCGACCCCACCCATTTGTCTTTGATAGAAACTGCCTACATATTCGATAGGGTTAAACTCTACTGATCACGTCTTCTCACTGTACCTCCTAGAATTTCCTCACGAAGCTAGTCACTAGTGAGCACTTTTTACGATATTTTCAATTAGAGTTATGAAGATTAGTGTTTTAACATATTTGAAATCAGTAATCAATCTTTGTTAGACCACCATTAGAAACCTGGAAGCACTGAAAGATGGCCGGTTCGACTCATTGGTGGCAGTGAGCATCCACGACTCCCGAACCTCACAGGATTCGAACCCGGGACCTTCGGTCATGCATGCGAACGCTTAACCTCTGGACTACTAAACAACTTTCAAAAGTAAAATTCTTCACTGAATCCAATTCTTAAAAAAGTTAGCTTCTTTTTCATTTAAATTGTTAAATGAAAATCAATTTATTATGTGCGAAACTCAAATTTATTTCCTTGGATTTAGTATTACAACTATCCGTTTATTTATATTATTCGGTGGTTTTAAAAAATAGTAAGCACTTAGTGTAAATTTATTAAGGATACTATGAAAAGCTTTAACAATGCATAGTCATGACGTCTTTCAGGATTAGATTTAAGACTTTCAGATTCGGAATTATGTCCATTACCAGTGTGGTGCGAGCTACTTATAAGTAGTATATGACGTGAGCGTCAACGTAATGTCTGGCAGCAGAAGATGGGGGAAGATCAAGAAAGAAAGGAAGAGTTAGAACACAATGGAATTTGTATGAAATGCATGAATAGTGACAATAGATTGATGTTTTGCAACAGGAACAATCCAGTTCGATATGATGAACTGATATTTTGCAAATTAACAATTTACGATATGGTTTTCCGATTTTACTGAGTAACTCTGTAATTTTTGTAAAATACATTCCGGTTGCCCCACCTGTGTTCTCGTTCACTACACCAGTAGTTCACTTAGTTTGAAATGAATAGCTGATAATTTTAACTTCTTTTGGTTCATAATAAAGAAAATTTGGCATCTGATACCATTAATGATGACTTCTAAACATTAGTTATACCTACAAGAATACTTTTCAAAAAAATCTGAATAGATTTGTCATTGTTTTTTTCATTACTGACAAAATTTTCATAATGTTGGAGATGTTAGATCCCCGAAACTCGCTTGTTAAATGCCTTAATTTTGGATTTCACGTTTGCCAGCATGGGCTGATCAGTTGGTTGACCTTGAGATTTCATTTCCCACCATCAAAATCCATGGATGCGATTGGCTGCTGTGTATTTTAGTGTGCTATTTTTGTAACTGTCCCAAGGACGTTTCTATGATGTATGAATAAACGAGAGTTATGTGTGCTTGATTGTATTGTGATTGCTGGGTGTTTGTAGAATATACTTTCTACACTTACCAAGCCTTCTGTTTACAGCTTGGGATTCAACGTAGCCTATCTGGACTCTGGTTGATTGTCTCGTTCGCGTTTATTGACTAAGGTGAACTCGTAATAGCTTCAAGCGTACCTAGTGACGAACATAACACATAATGAACTCATCTCATTTAGTGAATTGCTACTGATGACCAGATTTCATTTGGCCATCATTTAGTTCTACTTTACGAGTTCTTACTGGTGTGGAGCGTTTGACGTGGACAATGATCAACTGTGTTTACATTTTCAGGTTACTTGAAGACCATTTTAGAACATGTAGTCAGAGAATCCACAAAGTCAGCCATTTTAGTCCAACTTAAATTATTGTTAGGATATTCATCAAATATCCTAAGAGAATTATTGGTCAAATTCTATTGGTCGATTTCTATTGGTCAAAATTATAGTCATTTTAACTGTCAAAGTCAAATAATTCAATGTTGTCACTTATTGGTCATCCGGACTGTCAATGTCATTTCAAATGTAACTTCCTATTGGTCATCTTAACTGTCAATGTCACAGAATTTGATGCTGTTTCCTATTCGACCAAAATGTATAAATACGCATTATCTATAACATTTTATGAACACAACCAGGACCAGGGCTCGGTCCCGGATCCCTAGTCCAGGATCCTCATTCTCTTATGGACTCGTACCTCGTACTTTCTGAATGCTTGTAGAATACAGGTTCTACTTCATATCATGTCTTCTTATTTTTAATAAATATGGGGCTTGGGATAATCGGATTTGAGTAGCATGTCGTGTCACCGGATCCTCGATCCTCACTCTCGTTTTCCGACTAGGTAAACTCATAATAGTTCAAGTATATCAAGTTGACGTGTTTATGTGCAGGTGTTACAATTATTAATTTTTTTTCTGGTTGGCATCTTTTTTGGGGGGAATTAGTTTTCCACAGGATAAGGCTGCCAACTCCAAGCCCAACTCTCCTTCTTTAATATTATTCGGGCTTGGAACCAGTAAGTGTAGACCTCAGTAGCGACTCCAGGTGGAGTTGTTAAATTAGTTTCAAAAGAACAGAAAAAAATCAATCAACTGTGGACAGACAGATAGATAGATAGACAGACATACAGAAGAAGTAATGTAAAGTTTACGTAATATATACATATGATGATCTTCTTCTGATAGTAAAGTTACTTCTAATTTTAAACAATCCGATTGGAATGTTAATGATTCATGTATATCATTTGGCCAATATTGACAACATTTCGATATGTCATCTTCATATAATCTATAGGAAAGAAATCAATTGGGAAAAATACAATCAAATTAGGTTTTAATGTAGATTATTTCCGACTAGACAATTGATTATCATAGTTTAGTATGAAATTGATGACAGAGTAATTAGATTTTTTCGGGTAGAGTTTTGGAGCGAGGTTGTGTGTTTTTACACATTTGAAATCATCAATCAATCAGTCATTGTTAGACCACCATTATTAGAAACCTGGGAGCACTCGACGGCCGTTTCGTCCTGGTATGGGACTCATCAGTGACAGCGCGCATCCACAACGCCTGCACCTCACAGGATCCGAACCCAGGATCCTCGGTATTGTGCGTGAACGCCTAACCATTGGACCACTGGGCCGACATCCATCGGTGTTAATGTCTAACTCTGATCAATCTAGGGAATTGCGCGACGTCAAACATTTGTCCTTGGTAGTTACTGCCTACAACCGACAGGGTTGAACTCCATTGGTCACATCTTCTCAACTAGAACTCCGAGAATCTCCTCACGAAGCTAGTCACTAGTGAGCACTGTTACGATATTTTCATGCAGTTTTGGAGCGAGGTTTGTGTTTTTACACATTTGAAATCATCAATCAATCATTGTTAGACCACCATTAGAAACCTGATATGGGACTCATCGGTGTCAGTGCGCATCCACGACTCCTGCATCTCCTCGAAGGATTCGAACCCGGGACCTTCGGTATTGTGCGCGAACGCCTAACCATCGGACCACTGGGCCGGCATCTAATGAAAGTGTATATTAGTTAGGAAGTCATAAATTAGAACGATACAATAATTCAGTGTTAGTTGAATTTTGACAGTTCCATGGTTAACAATAATTGGTGTAGAAAAATAGCCGTGAGTTCACTGTTACGGAATATTCGACTTCAATTTATTTTTTCAAAACAACATCTGAACTACTTATATTATTCATTAAGTAGTAAATAGCTATGTTAGATTTTAAAGTTGACTTTTAATTAGAAAAACAAAAAGAAATAATAAAATGTTTTGTCGGTAGATTATTGTTTTTATATAAACATAAACAAATAACTATTTTATCGTTAATGAAGAAGATTTTCGGAGAGTGTATTCTTTTTCACAGTTGAACTTATGAACGACTTTTATCTAGACTATCATTAGAAACTTAGAAGCACTGGACGGTTGTCTTAGTCTAGTATGTCAGTCAGTCAGTTACAACGTAGAACTTCGTACGTACGCACATCAGTGTTCAAGTTGTCATACCACATTAGCACAGAAATGCAATCACCAATTCAACTACCGTAGAAGTAAAGGTAGTAGAAGTATGAGTGCAGTGATGGAGAACACAGGTGGGGCAACCGAATTGTATGTGGCGAAAATTACAGAGTTACTCAGTAAAATAGGAAAACCATATCGTAACCGTTAATTTGCAAGTCTTCAATCCATCATCAATCCATTGTCTGACATTACTACTGTGGACAGTGCATGAGGTTGCGCAACTCCGTGAATTGATCAAAGTAGACATTAACACCGTTAGATACCGGCTCAGTGGTCCAGGCGTTAGGCAAAAGGTCCTGAGTTCGAATCCTGCAAGGTGCAGGAGTTGTGGATGCCCACTGCCACTGATGAGTCCCATACCAATAGTAAACGGTCATCTTTCAGTACTTCCAGGTTTCTAATGATTATTGTTTAACATTGATCGATTCATGGTTTCGAAAATGTGTCCCGATAACTTCAAAACTAATAATATTCCTTATAAAATCTATTATTATCACAAGACAATATTACTTACTTACCTACAAAAAATACCGAACACAAGATAATGTAACGCGACTTACAAGTGGCGACGAATG